TTGTTGTTGTTTGTTTGTTGTTATGTTGCTGCAGTTGATCGTTAGTACAGATAGAGAGATTGCGTGTGTCGTGATTGATTGTGGTCCCTACTGTTGTGATTGATTGATGTGGCTGTTGTTATAATTGTTTGTTTGTTTGTTATTGTTTGATGTCGCTGCTGTTATTGTGATTGATTGCTATTGTTGTTGATGTTATTAACACTGGATACTTGTTGTTATTGATTGATTGACGTCACTGTTGTTGATCGTTGACTGTTGGAAATTTGTTGCTGCTTGAACTGTTGTTAATCGATGCTGTTTAAATGATGCTCAAGTATATTGAAGAGTATAATGCATATTTAATTAATAGATTGCTATTTACTAACAGTAAACTAACTATAAATGTAATGACACATGATGAATGTATACAAATATATATAAAGTTGACAATACCTTGATCAATGATCTACACATTTGGTGATCATTTGTGTGATCGAGATGTTTGAAAAACAGTTAAAGTCGCGCACGATTGGTGACCTCTGCATCAATTCCCCTGTGAGAGAATTGCTGTGTGATTGCACGACTTAAGGATTTGAATTCGTTTTTACATAGTAACTTAATATGAGGGTTAACAATAGGAATCAATCGTAGTGAAGTTGACACAATTTTGACTGCACAGCAGTACATTGTGGGCAAAGAGTCAACATGTAAAAGACAAAGAACAAAACCAAACATACAGTACGTTTCATAAGTTATGGCCACCCCCTGAGCAAACAGATAGGTGATTGATATCTCTTCAATATTAAGAGATACCAAATGATATCTTATCTCTCTAAATAATAGACTCAATTATCTACTAATCTTGATTGAATTACTTATTGCTAGTTATATTTATTTACAAATAATTGAATGAGAGTGTTGAAATGATAAGTAGTGAACATGGCCATTATTTATGCAACGAAAATTGATCGAAGGTATCGGAACGATGAACTAGAATAATGACAAAGGAGGTTGTCAATATTTGGTCCACCATCCATTCGCTGTTATAATGTCCTCCATTCGTTGTGGCAAGGAGGCGTATAGGTTCTCAACAATGCTGTCATCCATTAGCTCCCATTGTTCATTGGCAAGGTCGGAAAGGACCACTCCAGGGTTCTTTGCCAGCTCTCTCTTGACTCTCTTCTTCAAGATCGCCCAAAGATTCTCTATAATGTTGATGTCTGGTGAATATGGGGGAATGAATAGGGTGGGTATCCTCTTCCTTCTCAAGTGGCTGGTGACATTTGTTGCTCTATGAATTGGACAGTTGTCCATCGCCAGTGTAAAGTCTGGGAGTTGGCCATGATAATATCGGATGGATCGAGAGTATGCATCATCAAGAATCTCCGTGTATTGAGTGTTTTCTAAATTGCCTTCAATCTCAGAGAGATATCCGACACCAGCACTCGTGACACATCCCCAGAAATTGACCTTGGTTCCGGGAAGTCTCCTGATGCCATGAACTCGACTGAATGTGTTGTTATCTTGTCTAGCCCACTCGTGTTGACGGTAGTTCTTGAAGTTGGACTCAATTGTGGTCTCATCACAGAATACTATCTGTTCCCATTGTTCCGCTGTCCAGTCTCGATGAGCCATAGCGAACTCGAGCCTTTGATCTGCGTTTACTTGCTTTAGATCGTGCTTCCTGCTTAAACTGCGATAGGTGAGACCTTCCTTTGCAGCGATACGAGATATTTGAGCCGTTGATATCTCTGTATCGTATCTCAGTTCAAGTTTGGCTTTCAACTCGTCCAAAGTGATGACCTCCTTCCTGACCAAAGCTTTGATGATCCTCCTTCTAAGTCTTCTTGAAAACTTTGAAGGGCGTCCCGATTTGAGACGGTCCTTGAAGTCTCCTCGCTCGCTGTGTCGTTGAATAGTCCTGCTCACAGTTGATCGGGAAATATTGTACATCTTTGATATTAATTTCTTTGAATATCCTCTCCTTCTGGCTCTCACGATTTTAGCTCTCTCTTCTTCTGTTAATGACATGATTAATTGTAATGTACATAAATAATATTCTATCTCTTCCAACAAAGTGTTTGATGTTTGAACTCATTCATTCTTTACTATTGCATAAATAATGGACATGTTCATTACTTTAACAAAAATATCGTTTGAATGATAAAGATATATTAATTCCATTTTTGGAAAAATATTCATAAATGGAAATTTTTGAGCAAAAGTGGACTACTATATTTGGAAGTGAATAAGAATCTTGAACCATATTTGTAGGAGATATCAAACTCGTACCTGTTTGAACAGGGGGTGGCCATAACTTATGAAACATACTGTATTAAATTAAAATTAAAGAACAAAGGTTAATAATAATAAACGATAAATTTGTTATGCAGCACAGCAAAAAAAAATCAAAGGGAGGGGAGGGGAGGTAGGTTAGTTAATAGAAAATATTACTAATATGAACAAGAATAATGGTAAAATAATAGTTACCATATATAATAAATAGTATTAAATAAATGTATATAATTATTTATGGTATTGTAGTTTTGGAGGGATCATTCAAGTTTAAAAGTTGGCTAATCTCTTCTGACAAATTTGCACTATCACTTATCAAATATGGCTACTTAGTTGTTCTGAACAACAATGCTGATTATTTAATATTCCCATCACCACTTTACAAACAAACATATATCCTTCAAAAGGATTTACAAAAGAAAGAAAAAGTAGAACTTTAAAATCTCTCCCTATTAATAAAAATTGTCTATCGGAGGTTGGCAATAGGGTTTTGATGAGCTTTGATTAGTGGCAAAAGGGTTTTGAGGAGAGGAATATATCAGCATGACTGTCAATGAAAAACAATCTTTTTTTTTTTTTTTTTTTGACTAGAGTGGAAGTTTATTATTATTGCAAATAAATTGGCGTCATTGAAGAGGCGGGATAATGTATTAAATAAATAAAAGAAGAATTAATTCTAAAAGGCTCCAACGAGATTCGAACTCGTGACCCCTTCCTTACTAGGGAAGTACAATAACCAGCTATGCTATGGAGCCTATGTTTTTGGCAAATAAAAAATTCGCATTTTATAGCCAGATTAAGGCCGCTGCTCTTTTAATCTTATATTTCCCTTTTATTAATGATATAAATTCTTTAATTCAATATCTAGAGTAAATATGTATTCAATTGTCAAAGAATTGATTGAACAATACCTTTCACTATTCAAATAATTTGGCGCCAAATTACAAAATGTGGGTTAACAATCACCTTTTGATTAGTGTTCGGTACTAAGTGTGCACATACATAAGTAATACTTATACAATTACCACGTGTATATATATAACTTCCAAACATTACTATTAACTATTCAACAACAAGAGAGATTAGAAAGTTAGATAGATTGTCAGATTGATCATCATCTTGATCAGATCTACCTTGTAATACCAACAAGTGAAGTGAAGAAGACAAAGAATGATTACAGATAATATAAATATTATTACAACAACCAACAACAATAACAACAATAACAATAACAATATAATCAATATGATATCATCATCGTCTGATGATGGCCCAATAACAATGGCCACATCATCAATCTCATCGATGAAAATAAGTGATGACTCTTCGTTTGATGACATTGATCCAAAGTCATTCCTGACGCCAACCATCCCACGACGAAGATCATCCACTATATCTGGCTCACCAATCAGTTCACCAATACCAGACTGCAATCAATCAAACAACAATATGTCAAACAATAACAACAACAACAACATGAGCATGGGTATTGGTATTGGTATGAGTGGCAGTGTCAGTAGTAATGCGATCAACAGACTTGGCGAGAACCATCAACAACAACAACAACGTATTATTAGTCCAGTGAGAGCATCAACACCACATCCTCCACATTCATCATCATCAACAACATCACATCACTACAACACATCAAACAATACTCCACTGTCGACTCCACCCGCATCGCCATCAACGCCACAAGAGCACTATATACTGATGACCCCGCTCACTGGCAAGCGATCATCCACCTCATTGCTGCCGCTGTCTGGCGCGACACCGCTGCCCCACAACAGCTCAACGCTGTCACCTCCAACCAAGGTGTTCTCGCCACCTCGTCGACGCAAGACCTGTAACAATTTGGCATCGCGACTCTACATCAACTCACCAGAGCGCGATCGCTCGTTGACACTGACACTGTCGCCCTCGTCTTCCCAACACCCTTCGCTTCAGTCGCCACCTCCTGTCAATGCGAGCTCGACGACAGTCATGCACGCCTACGCAGACGTTCACTCAATGTTGCTGCAGGGCGGTCTGGGCAACCTGCCGGCCGAGCTGCTGATATCGATCTTCCAGCACTTTGGCCCACAAGACATATGCCGTGTAGGACTCACATGTCGATGGTGGCAGACAGTCTCCGAACAGGACTCACTCTGGTTGATCAAGTTCAATGAGCGCTTCCAACGTCCCAAGGCAATCCTTGACAAACTGCACAGTCAGGCCACCACCGAGTCTTGGAAGGAGTTATACACTCAACATTGTATGTTACCTTGATTGATTGATTGAGTGAACGAACGACACTAACACACTCCTCCACATTCATCAGACTTCATGGACAACTCATACTGCGAGGTTGAGAGGATGTTGGTATTGTTCCCAGTCACGCCGGAATATGAGCATGATATCACCATCATGTTGTACAAAGTATTGGTATGTTTGTAATCACAATCAAACTCTATGGCACTCACTCACTGACCCAATCAATCAATCAATCAAACAGAACTACCTCAAGCATACTGACTCGACAACAGAGTACATTCGCAAGTTGGAAGAGCTAAAGACTATACATATTACATTTGGAAATAGGATTGAGGCTGCCAACTGCTTGTTGAATCACTGTCAGCTGATCAGCTGGAATGGTGAAGCCACCTTCCCAGCCGAGCATGGATATCCATCAGAGGTGCACTCCGATCGCAAGGAGCGACTCCTAAACGCATCAATACAGCTATTCATCGAGGGCAAGCATTGGGAGCGTTCACTATCAATCATCAACAAGTTGCGCAAGAGATACAAGAAGGACCTGCCCAAGCTAACACAGCCCGAGCAACGACACACTTTGATCAAGAAGATGGTTGCCCTATCAGTATGTTGATGTCACATGCCAATCAATCACGTTCACTCACTCACTCACTCAATCAATCAACTTAGGAACTTGAGCATACATGTTACCAATCGCGAGACAAAGAGAAGAGATTCTTTGAGGAGTACTTCTTGGTGGAGTTCAGAGGCAAGGGCTTCCCCAAGTCTGTTGATGCCAAGAAGTTCATCTTTAGAGGCAATGTGTTAGAGAAGCTTGGCAACTTTGTAGGCAGGATGAAGAACAGATATCCTGGCGCACAGGTGGTGCCCAAGACTGACAAGGATGATATACTCACTGGCCAGTACGTGCACATTCGACCATGCAAGCCCATCTTCCTGCCAAAGATATTCGCCGGCGTGCAGACGCTGGCCATGGCCAATCAACAACAGCACATGGTGTCCAAGGGCCACACACTCCGCTCGCACTTTAAGGACGAGCAGGCATACATCCACAACAACTCGCGAGTATTCTTCTACTCCCAACCCTTCAAGAAGAAGAAGAAGGAGGGCGACCAGGTGGCGGCCAGCAACAATGAGTTCCTCGACCTGTGGACGTGCAATACGTACATCGTCTCGTCAAACACATTCCCCGACTTGATACGTTGCAGTGAGGTCAAGTCCATCATTGAGATCGAGCGCAATCCCCTCGAGACTGCCATTGAAGACCTCAACAAGAAGAACAAACAACTGCAGGGCATTGTCGACTCGTCAAAGGAGCAGAAGCAATGGTCACAAGGCCTGACAATGGCGTTGAATGGTGTGGTGGACGCAGCAGTCTCTGGTGGAATCAACATGTACCGAGTGTTCTTTAGTCAATGCTACTTGGAGGAGAACCCTGCACACCCGGACCTTCTTGGCAAGCTCAAGGACCTACTTCTCAAACAACAACTCCTACTTGAGGTTGGCATGGACATCCACTCGCAATGTTGTCCAGAGAACATCAAGGCGCTACAGAACAAGATGGAACTATGCTTTGAGAAATGGAAGCAGATCATTAGTGAGCTTGTAATACCAACATTGTCCGCGAGCAATGACCAAGTATCAGTGCCAGCTCCAGTGCCAGTCGACGAGGCAGAGAAGCTGCAGCAGCAAACTGCACAACAGATTGCCCATCCACCTATTCGCATCGCTGAGGAAGAGATGCTTCAACCTGTTGCATGTGAGGCACCCAAGGCCACAGTGACGACAGAGTCAAAGGCACCGGTAAAGACACCACCCAAGTCAGTCATTGGCAGTCCAGCATCATCAGACATTCGAACCAAACCAGTTGCTTCACCTCGTTCAACTTCCAAACTTCCACCAATGGCATCATCACAATCATCAGCGAGACAACTGGTATCAAAGGACTCTCCAAGGTCCACTACAGTCACATCAACAAGTGCATCGACAGGTGTTAAATGGGTCAATGGAAAGAAGCAAACTGTACCTCCATCAACAACAACAACAACTGGAACAAAGCAAACAACAACAACTGCAACTGCAACAACTACCACCCCGACATCATTAAGGAAGCCACCTCTTTCACCATCATCATCATCATCTGTATCCACTCCCTCAAAATTACTACCACCCAAGACATTGACAAGAAGTGTTCTGACTACAACACCACCTCCAACACGAAGGACTATGACTGTCACCAGTCCAACTACAACATCAAGCAGACCAACAACAACATCATCATTGTCGACAACAACATCAAGCAACACAACAAAATTGGTCTCCAAACCAACTCTCACATCCTCATCGTCCTCAACATCGTCATCATCAAGGTTAGCTGGCAGTCCCATCAAACCATTGGCAATATCCAAACCATCAACTACCTCTTCCACTGCCAGCAGTAGCACTGTCAAGGTGCCACAGACATCTCCAAACACTGGATCACTCTCACGACCAACGCTGAGTCACTTGGCAAAATCGACCACTGGTACTGGCACTGGAACTGTCACTGGCACAACACCCTCCTCCTCGACTACGACCTCACCCATCACCAAACAACCATCATCACCAAGGGTTGTTGCCAAGCCTCCATCCCGACCATCTTCACCAAGACCCAAGGCACCTGAACCTCAGCCATCAACCGCCAAGCCCCCAGCACCAACCAAAACATCAACGATTGGTGTGGCACTGTCCAACATCAAGAAGAGATTGTCATCATCATCTCTGTCATTAGCAAGTCTTGGAACATCATCTTCGTCAACATCCACATCCACATCTACATCTTCGACCCCATCGTCATCAACGCCCTCAACTCCAACTAAGGCTACACAGTCCTCGACCACAACGATGACCTCATCCTCGTCCACCACCTCGTCAAGGAACACAACACCCACCAAGACAACATCTGCTCGCCCCACCATTGGAAGCAGCAGCAATGCATCCAGCTCAACATTGCTGAGCAGAGCCAAGCCGCCCATGCTTGCCAAGGGCAGCGCATCATCATCGCCATCGCCAATATCCGTCAAGTCACAACAGACTACCAGGAGCACGGTCGCCCCCACTACCAAACCACCAGCCTCACCTCTGTCACTGACAAAGACGATGGGACACTCACTCTCCAAGCCAGCTGCCACCAAACTACCAGTGTCAACACTGGCCTACAAGAGTTCTGTCTTGACCAAACCAACAGGCTCCACTCCAACAAAGATGCCTGCATCTGGTGGCCCAACCTCCTCCTCATCTTCATCCTCCCAAACGACGACCTCATCCTCCTCAACGACAACCTCGTCAACATCTTCAATCTCGCACACAAATGTCACCACCAATCTTTTCCACTATCCCAACGATACTGATACCACGCCAATGAAGAAGTTGATGCACAAGCGCATCGCTCTCACCCCTTTGCCACTCACACTTCGTCTGGCGGCATCAAGTGGAGCTACCAGTCCATCGTCCACAGGACAATCTGTCGCTGGTGAGCATGTGACCAGCTCATCAACTTGAAGTTGAGCATATATATCTACAACAAACATCCAACATCCAACATCCACCATCCACCATCAATCAATTGCCAACTTTAACATGTTGGTGTACTGATTGATTCGGTTCATAACATCCATCCATCCACCTCTATCCATATTTATTCCACTGTCCTAATATATCATGTCAATAAACAACTCGAGAATATTGCACTGCATCGCTTGCACTGCATCCAGCTAACTAAGTAGTCGACCTCTCCACTCCATGATTGATTGATTTGGATGATATAATGGTACACTTTATATATATGTTATATTATATTCCTGCTGCTGTGTATCGCTGGAAGTCTAACCTTGAATGTCCTAACCATGATATAGGACATCTCTATCTATCTATCTGTATGTCTGACTGCATGTGTGCCTTGTCATGTGCATGCATGTCTGTGGCAAATGAAGTGTTTGCAATCCTCGTGTTCGCAACAAGTACCTTGATGCTTCTTGCTTGCTAGCTCGTTCGCTAACAAGCTATCTATATATATATATATATATATATGTGATTATGATTGGTTGTATGATTGTGTAATTGTGATTGTGATTGTGATTGTGTTTGACGTTTGATTGATGCGCTTGATTGTATGATTGATATCGAGGTATATATATATATATATAAATATAGAGTTAATGTGACTTTAACAACAGCTTCCTCTTTGTAAAGAACATGTAGATTAGGAAGCTGCTGGCTGATACGATTGAGAACCATATTATATTCCTCTTGGCATTTGACTTCTTATCTGTCTCTTCATTCTCTGTTGAGAATCTCTTAAAGATTGATCTGAATATCATAGTTTTAACTAATGTTGGTTTGATTGATTGATTAATTGATTCATTGATTCATAGAATGATTGATTGGATTGAATGAATGAATGGAGTAGTAACATGTATTAGTAATCTCTCTATGTCTCAATGACTCATAAAAGCAGCAAACACAATGAACACGTCATCATCATATTGTAATTGACTGAATACGAATGATTACGATTATAAGTATATACATACATATGATTATAAGTGGGGGTCTGGTCGTCAATGATGATACAGGTACGTCAATGATTGTTGTAGCTGCAGCACGCTCACTGCTTGCTCGCTCGTCAAACAACTTGAATGATTGTTGTGGGTCAGTGAGGGGTGAATGGAAGGGTGGACCTAGCCCAGGGACTCATTGGTCCTCTCCAAAATAAGATCAGATATTTGGTGGAGGTCATGACCTTTGCAAGGACTTTACAAAGCCTAACTACCAATCTTATGAGGATCAATCATATTCAAAATCACTATCACAATCACAACACATCATACAGATAGATAATACAACATAGATAGATATGGATTCAACTAAACTTTATAGAATCAATGATGAGATTGTTGAAGATAACAATTGTTCAGAGTCTGTCAACTGCTTATCATGGAAGAAGGAGGCATTAAAGTTGGCCATTGATCAAAAGGTGTTTGATGATGAACCCTTGGCACTCATCTACAACTTGGATCACTTTAGACAGTTGGCCAAAGAATCGAATGACAACTTCCAAGGTATCCAAACAATGGCTGTCAAGTCAAATCCTGTTTTGGTATGTTATGATTGCTAGAGTGATTGATTGAGTGATTGATCATACACTGATACCAAGTTCCATCAAACATTATAATAGAGTCTTTTGAAGGAGGCCATCAAAGCTGGACTTGGTGCAGAGGTGGCATCATTTGGTGAACTTAGAATTGCAGAATTGGCTGGATTCCCTGTTGAGGTATGTTTGATGGAGTGATGATTGATTGAGTGATTAAGTAATTGAATGACTGACATGATCGTGATGGACACTCCAGAAAATCATCTATGATTCACCAATCAAGACAAGGAAAGAGTTGGAGTATGCCCTTAGACTTGGTGTCAAGTTGAACGTTGATAACTTGCAAGAGTTGGACAAAGTAGTCGAGATTGTCAATGTAAGATTGATTGATTTATTGGATGTATGGCCGTTACTTACTCACTCACACATTGGAATAGACTCTACCAGAGGACATCAAACAAAGAGTTAGTTGTGGTATCCGTATCAATCCACAGGTTGAGGCAGGCAAGTATGCAGACTTGAGCACTGGTGTACCCACTTCAAAGTTTGGCATTGGAATGGAGTATCGTGATGAGATCATCCAGGCCTACAAGAATCACAAGTGGATCACCGGAGTACATCTCCATGTTGGCTCACAAGGATTCGAGATGGATCAGACCAGCAATGGAATTCTCAAAGTCTACGAGTTTGTCAACGAGATCAATCAGATCACAAACAAACAGATCAAGTTCTTCAACATCGGTGGAGGGTATGTTTGATTAATATCATTGATTGATTGATCACTCACTAACAATCACTCACTGGAACTATTCCAATCACTCAATCACCGATTGAACAGACTATCGGTGAACTTTAACACAGAGGTGGACACACCAACATTCACTCAGTACGCCAATCACTTGAGACAGAAGATTCCAGGATTGTTCAATGGTGACTTTGTGCTGATCACAGAGTTTGGAAGAGGATACTTTGCCAAGTGTGGATATGTGGTCAGCAAGGTGGAGTATACCAAGCGATCAGGTGGTCGTGATATTGGAGTGGTGCACGCTGGTGCCAACATGTTCATCAGAACAGTCTACCAATTCCCATTATGGAAGCTCAGAGTATCAGTGTTTGACGAGCGTGGTGACTTCAAGGATGGCAAGGACAACAGCTCCATCTATGATCTTGCCGGTCCCTGTTGCTTTGCAGCTGATCTCCTTGTCAAGGAGGTGAGTGTCAGTCAGTCCACCTTTGATACATCGTACTTGTACTAACATCAATCAATCAATCATAAATAGAGGAAACTACCCCATATTGTACCAAATGATTATGTGGTCGTTCATGATACTGGAGCATATATGTACAGCTCGTACTCACATTACAACCTCCGTCTTGCACCACCCATCTACGCTGTGGAGCAATCAGAGAATGGAACATACCAATTCAGTCAGATCAAGTCCTCCGAGACCATTGAGGACAAGATCAAATTCTTCTCATAATAGGCCAATGTCATGCATGACATAGGCGAGACACCTCAATACATGGACTCATCATTCGAGAACTTTGGATTGCTAATGAAGTGATTGATTGAATCATTCAAACATTACTATTTAATTGATGATTGATTGATTGATTGAGTTGGACATGATCACTAATTCTCATTGGGACGCGAATGTACCCAAAACTTGGAAATAAGTCTATTGTACAAGCTATCATTTGATGTGGTGTTGTCTTGTTCTTGTGTTTTGTGATGATCATTTTGTCCAACAACAACAACATCGCCATGACCATGACCATGATCATGTCCATGGTCCAAGTCATGATCATCATGAGATTTGACTCGTACAAAGTACAACCAAACTGTTTGGTTTGTTGGTGTTGATGGTGGCTCTTTATGATTGATCGAGACCAGTATGAAAGTTTCATGATAGATTGTGCCAACTGTTAAGTTTCTAACATTGCCGTGATCAGCCTTGTGTTCCATATCTATACTGATCAATGATGGATGCTCAATCATATTTAACAATAATTGAAGTGGACTTATGATGGCCTCTAAGTATCTCACCTTCCACTTGCGAATAGTATGATTACATCTCACTGCCGTCACCGTACCAAAGTCACGTAGTTGACTAGATAATATATCCACATTGGGCATTCCATTATGGTATTGTCCATATGTGTTTAGACTATGAACTCGAGTATTGGATAACATTGAAAATGTTTGTTGGACGATCGTATGTGTGGAATCGGACATGTCAATCTCCAACATATCCAACTTCCCGGCTTTGAAGTTGAGTGGTGCAATGACACCTCGCATCACATTTGAATTGATTATGAGATGTCCAAGAAGAGGCATTGATGAGGCCACCAACTCAATGATTGCCGGGTATGTACATGTATGATTCATCAACACTTGAAGTGATGTTAGTTTTGCGCTGAGAGACTTTAGCAAAGCGTGCAGTGGCACGACTTCACTTTGGAGCACATATTGATGTAGGATTAATGCTTGTAGACAACCTGATGTGAGCCCAACATTGTCACGACCCATGCACTCAATCATTTCTGTGCTGATCGACTTGGATAAAGTGAGTGATATTGTTCGCGACATGATTGATGGGATCGACAGTATCAAGTTCGTCGTATAATACGACGACAAAGTTGATTGAATGCAGAACTTCAATGATGGTGCCGACGTGCTGATGTGTGAATCGAGATCAATTAGCATATCAACTTGAAAATGGGACGACACAGTGAATATCAGTCTGCTGAGATTGCTGAGGTTGGCAGGCATGTATAGATGGTAAAACTTTGAGAGGTTCAGCTCACAGCCCACAGGTAGCTGATCGATCAGTGAGTCCATCATCACAGCGTCCTGGGCCACGAGTGGGTGGTAGGTCTGGACCAGGCTCTTTGACACTATAGTGAGTGATTGTAATCTTTGACCAACTCGATATAGGTAGTACTTCCAATCATGTATCGATTGCTCACTTGTTGGTGTGAGTATGTTCTCAGGCTGCCAGTACATGAATGCATTGACTGCATGTTTGAATGGACATAGTTTGTTCTCCAAATGATTGATCAATGATGTTGTTGTTGTGCTGTCTGCTGATGATGGGCCACGATCAAACCTGAATTGGAATACATCAGATACATACTCCAACCAACTATTACAAACCAATGCTAATCTTAATCTCCAAGACAAAGGCATCACATCATCCATGAACACCATCGTCACAATCCTTTTCTGGATTCTCCAAGGTAATTCCACAATTCTTATTTGTTCATCCATCTTACTTTTAAAAATGAATTAATTATTTGATGATTAATTGATTTGATTGATTGATTATTTGATTGTTCAATCATATTGAGTTAGTGCCCAGGGTAAGTTTGATTAAGGCTTCTAAAATGGGGGATGGAGGAATAAAGGCCCGGGCCTTTATTTTGATCATTTTTGAAGGTGTGTGGATCAAAACATTAATTCAAAAAAAACAAATCAAAAACTTTGTTGATGGTGGATTCGTGTGTGTGTGAGTGGGAGAGCGAGCTCATGTGAATGACTTGAAGTGATCCGCGTGTCCCATAGCGTATCCTATCCCGACCCACACATGTAGGTATCACGTATCATATATATGTCAATCAATCAATCGATCAATCGATACAGCTCAATCAATCTGGGTCTAACACATCCAATCAATCAATCAGAAGATCACAGATCACACAAACATGCAGATCTTTGTCAAGACTCTTACAGGAAAGACCATCACCCTCGAGGTCGAGGGCTCTGACACCATCGAGAATGTCAAGGCCAAGATCCAAGACAAGGAGGGAATCCCCCCCGATCAACAGCGTCTCATCTTCGCTGGCAAGCAGTTGGAGGATGGTCGCACCTTGTCCGACTACAACATCCAGAAGGAGTCCACCCTCCATCTGGTTCTCAGACTCCGTGGAGGTATTGAGCCATCGCTCCTTCTCTTGGCCAGAAAGTACAAGTGTGATAAGATGATCTGCAGAAAGTAAGCATCCGTCATTCGATCACATTCATTCATTCATCCAGTTGATCAACAGGCGACAGCGCGATAACGATTGGCATTGATCAATGTGACATGACACGCGACACATCATCCAGTCTCGACTCTGCGATAACAACAGGTTTGACAAATGATCATACATGATGGCTGACACAACATATATCATCTCTTTACTCAATCAATCAAATGAATAGGTGTTACGCTCGTCTCCACCCACGTGCCGTCAACTGCCGTAAGAAGAAGTGTGGTCACTCCAACAACTTGAGACCAAAGAAGAAGCTCCTTAAGTAATAAACTAAAGGCGATCTCCTCAGGGTGTCGGTGATCTTGTTGCATGTTCTAGGTAAACCAAACCAAACAAACCTCCCTCATAGTCCCTTCCCCGGACTTGTCTAGACCACTCTATCTCAATCATTCGCGTCATCATCATCACTCAACCCAACATCACATCATATCAATCAATCAACCATGTATTACTTCAAATCAATCTTTAGTTATTGCGTATGAATGTACAGCTTGTGGCATCGATACGGCCTATTTGGAAGCGATCGGGAGACTTCCAGGTGGTGAGGTCAGGCAGGAAGAGTGATCGGAAGGCAACTGTTTGAAGTTGTTCGCCAAAGGTGTCGATGCTGGAGAGTACGAGGGACATGGTCTTTGAGATCTGTGCGGCCAGGTCTTGGAAACAGTGATCGTCCACCTCGTCGTCAGTGACGGACAGCTCGTCAGAGAAGGCCAGTTTGAGTGTGTTGACTGATCGCGTACCCTGGAGCGCGGTGATCAGTGGCCGGAACTGGATCCAATTGAACCCGCTCCATTTGAGTCGCGTGATGGTGGCCGACACCATTATCAGCTGCACAATGCTGCCAAACAAGTGGAGGTCGGTGTTCTTGGTGGTGGACGACATGCCCACGTTAAGTGAGCACAGGCCAGCGTGGTCGCGGTTCATCTTGGCGAACTCGTCCAATGTGGCGTGGTTGACGTCGCGCAACACCAGCTTGCGAAGGGCCGCGTTGAACTTGACCATGAACAGCGGGTGTAGCGAGAGAGTGGAGATGCGCGTGTTGTTGGGCAGCAACTTCATGATGTGCTCGCCGGCGGGGAAGGCGAGGTAGAGGCGCTCGAGTGTGTTGTTCTGGCGAAGGAATGTGGCCAACGCAGCGTTGAACTGTGTAGCCGAAGTGTTGACGAGCGAGTCGAACCGCAGACTAGTCAGACAGCGAAGTTTGGAGAGACCAGAAAAGAACGCGTCTGGACGCTCAATGATCACGCCGGACAGTCGAAGCGCAGCCAGCCCGGATGTGGGGTGCTGCAAGGGCTGGCAGGAGAGGATGGCACGCGAGAACGCCGTGTCTGGTGGTGTGATGGTGAGCGTGGGCTTGAAGCTCGAGCCGGCAAAGTGGAAGTGCAGACTACGCATCGACGTTGTCTTGCTCTCGAGATAGGCGGCGAGTGCGGCGAATGAGTGTTGGCTGCTGTCGGTCGTGCCGCCAAAGCCAAAGATCGAGACGTTGAGGCCGAGCGAGGTGATCGCTGGGAAGTCCGCCAGTCTGTCAAATGGGAAGTTGTGGAATGCTCGCAATGTCAGTGTATCCATGTTGCGGTGTGCGCCCTGCGCGACCAGTAGACGCAGGATCTGATCGGTGGCCTCATTGTTGACGCGAGGGAAGTTGAGTGCGATGTCCAAGGTGTGTAGTGCGCCAAAGATGTTCCAGTCTCCGGGTGGCCGGTGTGGTGGCGGGGGACACGCTTCCAGCTGCTCGCCAAAGGTGCTGGTGAATGATCGGCCTGTGCAGTTGAAGCGTGTGATATGTGAGAGTGGCGAGCTAGTAGAGGAGAGCAACGGTAGCAGCTTGCCACTGGTGATCATCTCACAAGATGCTCTGTTGTTTAAGTTTGACGCAATATATGATTGAAACCTGCGGCACACCAACGTCGTAGCCAACTTCCACTTCAATGACAAATGTGGATCATTCCAACAAAGTGTCAACACTCTAAGCTGAACGTACATTGGTAGTGCTGGAGTTGACATGTCTTATTTAAATATGATGATAATTATATAATGTTATGTGTAATGTGTGATCAAGTGATTGATTGATTGATTGATTGAATGATTGAATGATCAGAGTTGACTGACCTTCAGTGGCCTTCATTCATACCATCAAGCCAAGTCCCCTATGATTGTTACACCTCTGTATCACTTTGTAATAAAGTTGAAGTTGAACTTGAACATTACTTTATCAACTTTTTAAATGGAACGACGAGAGTCCCATGCCTAGGCCAATACGAGGTGAGGTCACGAACACTTGATAAACTTATTATTATTACACCATCACTATTTTGGGACTTGTTTCGATTCAATTTCCGCCGAGTGCAGACATTCGCAAAAGTGTAGTGTGATCTCTGATCAACGAATCTTCGCTCACTACATCGCTGTCTCATCACACTCCATCAACTAATCAATCAACCAACCATTGCATTAGTTATTATCTGTATATATATAATAATATTATTACATTTGATCAAACAATCATATCATATGATAACGGTTAAGGAATCTACAACAATCGAATCGAAGAACATTCGAGTTGTCATTCATTCAGATCTGATCAAATAAATAAACGATCAATCAACTTTTGGGTGATTGAGAAGGTTTGTTGATGTGATCGTGGAATACGCCTGCAGTGTCAAGTGTCTATTCTCGTCAGTTTCTTTGGAGCGCCGAGCACTGGCTGAGAACCAAAACCATGGAGGCCTCCCCATCCATCGTGGTGCATCAGGTGACTTTTGACAGGACATATGATTTGATTGGCTCACCATTCTTGGATAATAAAGCCCAAGAAGGCCTAAAACACAAACCAAAATTGGATATTTAAATTCGTGTGTGCGAATGATTGTTTTTGATTCACTTCCCTCAAAAGTCGAGGTTGCTGACCTCACGTCTGTCTCTGCCTGGAAATGAGTCCTCTCCTCCTCTCCCAAGCCGAGCAGCCCTACCACCAAGCCCCATCCTATCGTTGTTGTCAATCACAACAATACTCTTAATGAGGGCTTTTAATTGTCAAGCATGCTTGACCATCTTGTTATGATACCAACTCTTCATTCATTCACCAAACATACAAACAAACAAATAAGTTAACTTATAATTATACATAATATATATACATAATAATAATGAAGGATATTCTTGTCGCATACCTCCTGTGGTTCTTCTTGGGCGTCTTTGGAGTCCACAGATTCTATTTGAACAGACCATGCTCTGGTGTTCTCTACTTGTTCACCCTCGGTGTCTTTGGCATTGGTTGGTTGGTCGATATCTGTCTCATCCCAGGTAAGTCTCGCAATGATGACCTCACATCACATTACATCAAATCCTCAACAACCTTCTAACTAATGATCAATCAATCAATTCAAACTCAAATAGGAATGGTCGAGCATGAGAACGAGCACTGCCACGCTCACACCAACACTGTTGTTGTCGTTGGTCAGCAGCCAGCCGGTATTGTTGCCCAGCCATACCAGGCCCAGCCAATGTACCAAGCCCAGCCATACCCAGGTCAGCCAATCTACGCTCAGCCACAGGCCGGTCTCTACCCAGTCCCAGGCGAGTACGTCCAGCCATACCAGCCATCCGGCCCACAGTAAACTTCCCCTTCTGCGTATCAATCCAGCAACATCTATCTCTTTGACTGGACACCAACCAACACAGTAGCCCACCAAGCTAAGGAGTGATGGGTCATAACAAATCAATTTACCTATCTATCTTATCTCTATTCACAATACACGTCGTGTATACAATGTATACCTCTTTATCTCACATGTCTCCTCGTTGATTCATCCATCCACTTACACAAGTCATCGATGACTTAGAATAGACTGGATATCTTGCTCGTGAACCATGTTCGTACTTTGTTAATACCAACAACAACTCTGAATGAGTTAATGTGAGTTAGTAATCTATCCAAATCAATCAATCAATCAATCTCTAAGTATACATACTGTTCTTTGATCACTCGGAATACATCAAAGACATAGTTGCTGATTGAGTAGGGTATAATAGTTCCACTGTGTGGCTGCGGATGGATGGAGGTCTCCAACAGTTGGTTGAACTTGAGCTCAGTGATCTCATTGTTCTTCTTTTCGAGGGTGTCCTCCAGCAGTCTGATCCTGTTCTTTAACTTCTGAGCCTCACATTCATTGTCCAAATGATGTTGCAATGATGTATGGTTTCCAAAGTAGTAACAACCACTGTCTTTGTTGGGACAGGCACACTTCTCCAATGTTTGTCTACGTGTCACTGTCATCTCCTCTTCATGTGGCGTCTCCTTTGGGACAGGTACCTCTGGGAATGACTCATATGAAGACTCTTCTGATGACGACGAGGATGAGGATGAAGAATTCATAGACTCTGAGGTAGACTTTGGTACAGGACTCGATGGTAATGATTGTTGTCCAACCACAAACTTGGCATTGTCAAGGTCCAAAGACAGGGGATGGACATTGATGTCGGAGGATGAAGTAGAGTGGAAGCTTTGTGTTGATAATGGGGAGGGTATCGATTGGAAGGACATTGATTCGTTCTCCTCATCCATGTCAACCTCCTTCTCCACATCATCACTGTCGGCGTCGTACTGATCATCGTCCAGGTCACTCATTATATGGCAGTCATTGTCATCAAACTCGGCAGGTGGAGCACGAGTGTATGTGGCCGGGTTATATTTGCACATTGCTTCATGAGCTTGTTTGTTTCCATAGTTCACCAACATATTACATCCACCGTCTTGTCTAAGACTCAGATGACCATAGTCATCGTAATATACAGCGTATCTACAGTAACATAACAGTTCATCAAGTTCACCTTTAAATAATAATAGATTAAGTGAGTAACATGAATACAAAAGATTGATTGAATGTATAATGAATATTAATACCTTTGAGTTGGAAGTTGATATCTAGAGTCTTGATCACCATATTATCTACTGGACAGAAGGAAAGAGACTCGATGCAGTTTGAACAGAATGTATGTCCACACTCAACATTGGTAATGGGACATCCCATTAAACCTTGATGATTGGTACATATAAATCTCTCATCAGGTGGAATGAGGAATAAAGTATTGTCAACTTCGGCATTATTAGTATCCATTTATAATATATGTAGTTGTTGGAAGGAAAAGTAATAATAAATATAAGTAATAATAATATATTATCTATAACAATGAAGGTAGTTGAAGTTAGAGATAAGAGATGAACATACTACGCTCTAAGTAAGTAGGAGTATAATGGGAAATGAGATGGTTGGATGGATGAGTGGAAGATGGAACAAGGATGCTGGATAGAGGACCCACTCTCAGCACACAAATTGACACTGTGTTTGCTCCATCTAATCACATCTGAACACACACACAACACACTGACACACCCCTCTGTTGCCACCATCTTAAGAATGAGCATCAACACTCACTCAAACAATGAACAACAACAGTGTGGTAAACTTTGACTAACTGAGTGACTGCACTACTTATTGACTGGACTAGGGTCAAATGTGTTGCCACTGATCAGTGTGTTGTTGCCATCCTTGTTTTAAACTGAACCCTCTGCCGCTGCCACCTTTAATTACTTAAAGTTTAGCCACACTACATAAACATTAATTGACAGACTTGCCGACTGCTACAGAAAGACGTGAAAGGACCTTTCACACACTATCCATTCATTCAAAGCTTTATTTACGAGCCGTGGTGGATGGAGGTGGAGCATTAGTTGGAAGAGTTGGTGTTGCTACGGCAGTTGATGAAGGTAGAGTTGTAGTACAGAAATTACAAAGCTTTGTCTTGGTGTTGCAACAGTCCGAGCAATATACCATTTGGCATGCTGTACAATTATGCTGGAGAATGGATGGATTGGTGGATGGACAGGAGTGTTAGACGATTGGTTGGTTGATTGATTGCGTGTTTGTCCTAACTTACCTTCCTTGACCACATTCCAAACTCTTTGCTACATTTGTTACATTGCCTATTCAGATCCACTTGTCTGGATGTAGTAGTTGTAGTTGTCGTCGTTGTTGTAGTTGTTGTGGTCTGTTGTTTGAGGAAGGTCGGGCTGGTATTACTACTACTACCATTGCTTGAAGTCTTTGTTGCCAATGTTGATGTGGCTTGTTCTCGTTCTTGTTCGTTCGGTGCAACAACAATTACAGCCTTGTCGACAATTGCTGAAGATACTGTTGTTGTTGGTTGTGATAATGATGTAGATGATGTTGATGGTGATTCTGCCATTGATGATGAAGAAGATGAAGATGATGATAAAGAAGGGGATATAGGAGTAATGGGTAACATCAACTCCTTCTGTACAGATGCGTTGATAGGTGGATGATGCTTGTCTGCAATCGTATAGTAGTCGAGAAAGATTGAGTCGTCTTCCTTTGCAAATCGCTGAAGGAATGCCTTTCTAATGCGTGCGTTTGTCCTGCGTGACTCCTCCAACTCCAAGTTCAAACGAGTCACAAGTGTTGCGTTATAGTCCTTCTGTTGTTGTGTGTCCTTCTCCAGCATCTTGATCTCCTTGTTCAAGAATTGAATGTGCAGTCTATAACCAATGTTGGCGGAACGTGCCCTTTCCAGCATGTCCTCCACCTGCTCCACAGTCTTTGGCGTCGACGTCGTTGCCTTTTGATCGTTGTTATTGGACTTGGTCTTGGATGATGATGATGTAGCCTTTGCGGTGGCCTTGGCATTGGCCTCCTCAGTCTCCTTTTGTTGCTGGAGTTGTTGTTGAAGTTGCTTCTGCACTGCGGGTGGCGTCGACTTGCCTCTATCCCTACGTGTCTGTTTCAAAGGTGATGTCACAGGTTGGCTCGCAATGTATCCACTGTTGTTGTTGTTGTCTTGTGCCTGTTCATTCTTGTCGTCCATGACACCATGATTGTTGTTGTCAGCCTCAGCGGTAGCATCATACTCTTGCATGATCCTTGACAGATCGCTTAGGTCCAATGACTTGCGTTTGAGTATCGATGTGTTGCTACCAATGCTCTCGGTGAAGTTCTCATCACTGAGTATGAGTAGCTCCTGTGTGATCTTGGACAACTCCTTGCGAGAGTTGCGCAATGACTTCTTGGTGAACTGCAGCTGTGATGAGTTCTCATTCATGTTCTCCTCCATCTTCTTGTATCGCGTCATCAATGAGTTTGAATCGATCTGTAGTCGCTGCACCTGTTTGTTGAGACGCTGCAGCTCCTCGTCCTTCTCCTGCACCAGCTTGATCAGGTTCTTCTCGGACATTGTGTAGGTGGCATCGGTGAGCGAGATTGCGGTCACGCGCTTGCTCAATCGCTCACTTCCCAATTGATACTCCAGCTCGCCAATGCGCTCGTTGAGGCGTGCGATCGTCTCGTTGGACTTGGCGCACTCGGACACCAGCAACGACACTCGCTCTTCAATCTCCACTTCATTCCTGTTCATCAGACCGATGATGGCCAGACGCTCGCCCTCTGATTGCTTGAGCTCCTGCGTCATCGATTGCTGTGAGCTGCTCAGATCGTCGTATTTCTTGCTCGACTCGGACAGACTCTGGCGCAGACGGTCGATCTCCTTCTGATGATTGAGCGACTCGATCTCGGCGCTCGACAGCTGGCCCTTCATCTTGTCGACCGCGCGTTGACTGGCCTCCACGTCGACTGTGGCGCGGCTGTGTCGCTCCTTCCAGGACTTGGTCTTTAGTTTGGCGCGATCTGCGCGTGCCTTCTGCTCCTCGATCTGACTGAAGTAGTTCTCGCGCTCTTGCTTCATCTGGCGATGGGTGTTCTCCGACTCTTGCCGTGAGAACACATTGAGATCGCGCTCACGCCTCAGCTGCTCCTGCAGCGCTTCGACCTTTTGCTCCTGCAGCTGCACCTTCTCCATCCATGACTCGATCTCGGCGTCCTTGCGATGCATCACCACCGAGACGTCCTCGATCTGCTCCTTCCAATCCTCAATCTCCTGCGGACTGACCCATTGGTCCTTGATGTTGACCAGCTCGCGCTCCAGCGTGTTTTTTGTGATGCTCTCGTCGTGCTGACGCTTCTGCAGCTGATTGATCTGCTCGTGCAGTCGCTCGTTCTCCTCCTCCTTCTCCCTGATCTCGTTGTTGTACTTGTTGAGACGGCCAGTCATCAGCTCGATCTCAGCATCCTTGTGAGCCATCTCTGTGTTGTCCATTTGAATGCGTGATGACAGTTGCTTCAGCCTGTCCTTCAGCACGCTGCAGTAGTCCAGCACGGCCTCGCTCTGATCCTCCTGACTGTTAATCGGCAGTCCAACGACGCCAAGATCAGGCATGAAGTTTGTAAAGTTTGAATAGCTCTGTGATTTACTCTGTTGATGTTTCCTTCGTCTAGCTGATGCATCCTTTGATCTGATTGATTGAGTATGAGTATGATTGAGTTTGAATGAGTGAGCCCAGCTCTGTTCACACTTACCTTGTTCCCTGGATTGATGCATTGAACTTGGCGCTACTGGGCGTGGTGAGATTGTCAACGATGCCAAAGAGTAGTGAGTGATTGGGTGATGAGTCTGTTGATGTATTGCCATTGATACTCATGGGACTTGATGATACATGATTGTTATTGTTATTGTTCAAACCAGACAACATTCCACCCATTGATGAGAATGGTATCATATTATTATTATTATTGTTGTTGTTGTTTCCATTATTATTGAGTATCAATGTAGGAGGAGGTTGTAGTTGTTGTTGTTGTTGCTGTTGTTGTTGTTGTTGTTGTTGTTTCTGATTATTATTCATTGTATTGATGTGATCGCCACCGAGGGCGAACGACATCTTGTCTCGTTCCAACTCGCTACCCTTTGAAAGTGGCGAGTCGTTTGATAACATCTATTTGTGTCCTCTTTGACACTACTAAACAAAATATATATGTTATCTGTCTCTATCCTATATCTATCTTATATCTATATCTATATCTATGTCTATATCTAGAGATAACTTAAGTTGTAAACAAACCCAAGAGTGAATGAATGTGTGTGTGTGTGTGTGACTACTTGTAGAAGTATCTGTCTCTACCACACACTCTTTACAATTTCACTAATCTTCAAAGTCGGATTGTCCATGGACAAGAAAAGGCGCAAAAGTCAGTCAACATTGTTGTAATGGGAATTACAAATTTTAATTGATATAATATTAATGCTAATACACGAACAAATAATATTAATAATGTTGATATTACATAAGATAATTGATTGATTGTGAAGATCCCTATGATTCATTGAGGATGACTCATTCACTCAACAACACTCTAGGTTCATTCATTCGATTCGTTTGAGTCATCCATCAACACACTTTCTTTTGAAAAATCGACTACTGGTGCCTTTTCAATTCAAGTCATTTACTTCCTTGTTTCATCGTGTAACAAAGATAGATATATAATATAATATATACATTATATAGTATAGTAACATACATACATAGAATGGCAATGGACTCTGTTAGTGCTCAACTCACACCTTGGATCTATTACTGTATATATTGTGTATCATTCAATACATTGCTATTGGTGATGTGGATGTACAAGATGTTGAGGTCATTGAATGCTTGGTTATTCTGTATAATCTATGCTGGTATAAGCAATGGCAACAACAATAGTAACAAGCATAATATAACAATGGCCACGTCAGCGAGTGGCAGTGTTAGTGCCAAGCACATCTTTGATCATATACAGTCACGAGTGTCACAGTTGTCGGGATCATTGCCACGCCATCTCGCCATCATTCTGGAGCATGAAGCATCAAACAACATGGCATTGCTTCATAAGTTGGCCGACGTGTTGATGTGGTCTGTTATGGCTGGCATCTCGCGTATCACAATCATGGAGCGCACTGGCGAGTTGAAGAAGCAGTTGGACATCCTACAGCATACACTGGAGGGTCAGCACAAGAGGCTCACCGTTGACAACGACAACAACAACGACAACAACATCACATTCTCATTCAATTGGTTGAACAAGTCATCGAATGATCATCACAGCCATGACGCTGACCACGGTCATGCTACCGTTGCACCAATCACAAACCAACGCGTTCTCGACATTAGTGTTGTATCGGCGGACGATGGAAAGTTGGAGCTGGTCAATATTACAAAGAAGTATACAAAGGAGCGCAAGCTGGATGAGTCACTAGAGCTCAATGAGCATTACATTCAATCAAACCTGCCACGTCACATTGGAGGCGAGGGCAGTGAGCCCGAGATAGCAATGGACTTCACCGAACGCAACATCCTAAGTGGATTCCTACCCTGGCATGTCAAATTGACAGAGTTCATGTAAGTAACATACAATCATTCATTCGACCAATCATTCAATCACATACTAACTTTCATTCATTCAATCATTCCAATGATATTACAGCAAGGTTGATAACTTCAATCAAATGTATCTTGAGAAGTACTTACATGTATTGCAAACTTATGGACGAATCGAGAAGCGATGTGGAAAGTGAGGTGAAGTGATCAAGTCAATCAATCCAAAGGCAAGGCCATGCAGTCGCGCCAATGGCCATTCACAACGTGGAATACATTACTCCACACAATCGTACTCAAGTTGGCAATGTTCGGAAGGACCTAAACTAACACCGAAACGTCCGTCCTGATCACTGGCCCATCCATCCAATCACTCAAATCAACAATGCAAAGACAATGTAGGCCAAGTCCACCCCAACATTATCATAAATCTAGGTAGCTAGATTGATCAGAACATCGTCTTTTCTAATGGAAACAAGATTGGGCCGTTTCTGAGGCCTTTGATCAAAGTTTGTGTTTTTTTTTTTAGACTTTGGTTTGGATGGGAACACACGGGCACGCATATCTGTATCTAGATTCGATGTGAGTGTGGTGCATACACAACTGTTTCATTCATTCATTTTAGGGCCATCACGATGGGCAGCGTGGTGCTCCAACCAATCACCCGATTTGACAGGATGTCTTGATGGGTTGTGTGATTTGATTCATTCAAAGGAAACAATGTCAGAGTGTCGTGTTGTGTGTGGTGTGTTTGTGTTGGAAGGAGAAAGTTAGGAGGCGAGAGGTCACTCTACTTCTACTACTCCTATAACCAATACACTTACACTTACACATACACATAATCATACACATATACACACACACACACACTTGTGTAAGCAACTCTCTATCTCTATCTCTATCAATCTCTATATCTTTATCAATCTGACAAAGACAGTTGTACTTTAAAGTTACCGGACCCAAGACCAAGCATTCATTGACCCAACAACAACAACAACAACAGGTTAGTAGACAATGCAACACCTTCACGAATGTCTTGTCTTGACGCTTCAGGTCAAGTGATGTCAGGTCAACAAACCCCAGGGTCCACTGCTCATCACATTGCAACACCTAGTGTGTGAGATAAAGGGGGTGGGGTCAGAGGACCACGATCGTGGTCCGTGTGATCGATTACATAGATACACACACACCAACATACACTTTCACCATCTCATTCACACACTATCCAATCATGTTGTGTATGATTGATTGATTGAGCGTGAGTGAGCGAGTATGTTCTACCTAATATATGTGGTTATGGCTAAGCGGCCTCCATTGATATCAACAACATGGTGCCTGGACCATCCCATATTCCAACTCTACTCTCCATTCATTCATTCAATCAATCATTCATACATAATCTTACAATCATTCAAACATTCATTACAATATTAACAAACAAACAAACAATCCAACAATGTATTATAGGAGCAGTAATATACCATCACCTGTTAATAACAACAGCAATAATAAGAAGCCAATATTATCGGCAGGCTTACAATTTGGACCAAGGAACGTTATAATAGTCGGTGGTCCAAAGGACAAAACGAGCATATATAGCACAATGGCCACAACAATAGACTATAATAATAATAATAATTCAAAGAATAGCGTACCAAATGTATGATTGATTGATGGAATGAATCCAATCACAATCACTGCCACTTCCCTTCCACTTACTAACTCACACTCTATTACTCAACTTTAGATATCATTCAGCCCGCCCCCAGTCGACCAGGCGGCAGGTGGAATCATGCTCACAGAAGAAGAGCGTAGAGCGGAACTCAAACAACTACTTTCATCAACCATCCCATGTCTCATGATCGGCGTCGAAGAAGCCGAAACAGACATCACCAGCATATTCAACCTGGACGACCTCACCGAGAAGCGTTCATCATGCCAGCTACTCATCGGACTCTCAAAGGTATACCTTCTCTCAATCAATCCAATCCTATCAATCACACAAGTTGGCTAACACACTCATTTCCTCCCTCGACTGGAACTATTCCCGCCCCCGCCTCGGCCTCTCCCACTCAAACACAAACAAACAGATACTCAAGGAATACCCAAAGGGTATGGGATATATACCAAGACCACTACCATCAGCACTTAGTCAGTTGCCAAAGCTGAGGGAGTTTAGAGCACAGATGGACTTGTTGATCTGGGAGATCATCTCAAAGTTGTCCATTTTAAAGGAGTTTGTGCTGGCCTCCAACACTGACCTTCAAAAGTTGTTTGTCGTTGCGCTAAGTATACGCGACGCCAAGAACTGCTTCACACAGAACCAATGCGAGCACTATATCAGGGCTATGGACGAGGTGGACCCCAACCTCAATCGCAAACTCTTTGCCACGGCGCCCAAGCCTCAAAAGCCCGTGCTGTCCAAGGCGCCACGCGAGATCATGGACTCGACCAACACAATGGTCGACCACGCAATTCAGAGCAAATCAATCTCAAGCAGCGACAAGGTCAGCGTGTTCCGCGAGATGATCTCGCAACGCGCTTTCCAGATGAAGGAGGACCCCGTAGCATTCCGCAACGAGCTGCTCGAGAAGCGTCGCACGCGTCTCATCACCCAGAGCGACGACGGCGGAGCGTCGGGTCGCGATGGCGAGATGGGTGCTGGCGTGGGTAAACATCACGGTGGATCGAAGCGCAACTCGATTGGCAACGGCTCGCCGCTCATTCACTCTGGCTCGTACGACTCTCCAAAGTCGCCCGAGGCACTTCACAGTGGCGCTCGCACGCCTGTTGACAAGCTCAAGAGTCACTTCTTGACGCCGGGCAAGTCACGCTCATACTCGGACGCACAGATGGCTGTCGAACAGGCCATCCCCAACCCTTCAGTGGAGCGCGTCAATCGCTTCTACAAGCTGCATCACGCATCCTCGCCCTCGGCCTCCTCGGCCAACGTACCACTCTCAATGGTGCCACCCGTTCTCAATCTCAGCAGCGGCACGCTGGGCAGCAGCGAGCTGGATGTTGCCGGAGAGTGGGAGCGATACGACCCAAGCCATGCTGCACAGGCTGGTTGCGGCCACCTTCAAGAGGTACGTGGCTTCAAGACTGATGCTGGCCGTGCATCACTCTCACTTCTGGGCGACCTGGATCACTTCATGGTGAAGGATGCTCATAACGACGACATGTTCTTCCGTGAGGACTTCTTGCAGCGCAATCACATCAACTTCCTCGGCGTGAGCAAGACGGCTGACAAGACACCAGTGGCTATCTCGATCTGCCACTACCTGCTCGAGTCGGGCGACACCGAGCTGTTGTACATTATTCGAACGCAAGAGGGCGACGAGCGCCTGCGGTTCACGTTGGCGCGCACCAAGGACTGCTCGTCCAAGGACATGATCAAGATGCTCAAGAAGGCGCGTCCACAGTACCAGAACTTCAAGATCAAGGACGTGCGTGACGAGGCGCTAATGAACCACTTGCTCGACTTTGAGGCCAAGAACACCCTACAGTGCCGCTTCAAGTTTGGCGTGCTCTATTGTCGCGACGGCCAGACCGAGGAGAACGACCTATACGGCAACAACCACGACGACAGCAGCCGCGACTACAACGACTTCCTCGAGGTGCTGGGCGAACGCGTCCCACTCAAGGGCTGGACGGCGTATCGCGGCGGTCTAGACGTGCGCGAGGATCTCACTGGCACGCACTCTGTGTTTAGAAAGTGGCGCAACTATGAGATCATGTTCCATGTGGCCACGATGATTCCGCCCAAGCCCGACGACGTGCAGCAGGTGGACAGGAAGCGACATCTTGGCAACGACATTGTTATTATTATATTCAAGGAGGGCGATGCACCCATCAGTCCCGCCATCTTCAAGTCGAACTTTAATCACATCTTTGCCGTGGTCCAAGTGGACCGACAGCAATCCACCCATGGCGACACCTACTACCACCTCACCGTGGCGAGCAAAGATGAGATCACCTCATTCGGTCCACAATTCCCCAAGTACTACAGTTTCTCAAAAGAAGAGCTAAAGGATTTCCTGATGGCAAAGAGTAAGTTGATCAGATGTGATCCATCAGGTGGGATAGTTCCAATCATATATATTAACCACATTTAATCAATCAAAAAATTATAGTGATCAATGGAGAGAGATGGGTACTAAACTCACCAGTGTTCTCACATAAGATTGTTAGGTCCAGACGCGAGTTCTTGCAGTCCTACACCAATGACTACCTGGATAGTTAATGGAAACAAACAAACCAACTATCCATCCATCGAACCATCCAACCACACCCAACTAACCAACCATCCACATCCAATGTACAATCCATAAGTATCTCTTGTCTTTGTAATTGATAAATAAAGGGGTTATGGATACATTGTTTATTTATGTAAATATAATATATAAGTGTAATGTTCGATCGATCATTGATTACACTACACCTATCAGGATTCTACTGTGATTCCGGATGACATTGACGTGTTGGAGTGCTCAGTGCTCGGTGCACAGCAGTAACTGGATATGGTCTGGTTGTTGATGTTGTTGGCCTGGATCATGTATTCATGGAACACCCTGAGAATGTTCTCAGTCGTCTTGTTGGTGTTGAAGAACTCTGCAGTGTCTTGGACATCATCATTCGATGTAGATACTTTGGACATTGGAATTCCCATGTTGTTGAATTAGTTGTAGTAGTAATTAATTAAATTTGTTGAATTTGGGTGGATAGTTTGCTTGGTTGATTGATTGATTGATTGATTAGGTGATTGGACAATGTGTGATTGTAGTTATGTCCAACTGGTGGTGACAGGTGTAAGTTGAATGAATGATTGATTGATTGATTTTGGTTGTTAAGACGAATAATTCCAAAGTGAAGATGTAATTGTGTAAGTTTGGTGATGGATGATGGACGGTGATGGGTTCAGAGATGGGTTGGTACTGTGAAGATATAAACCGGATGGTGGTCGATTTAAAGTTGGTAGTAGATGGATTGTTTGTTTGTTTGTTTGTTTGTTTGTTTGTTTGATGGTAGTTATTTGAGGTGAAGGTGGATTTGGATGATTGATTGGATACTTATAATTTATAGACGACGTCGACCTTTACCCTTGCTATTGGTTGGTGGTTGATAGAGCGGTAAGATGTTCTTAAGAGAGGAGCACACATCCAGATTGATTGATGTATTACTGAGTGAGTTTAGTATGTCACTTGGTGAGTGTGTGTCTGTTTGAATGCCCAACAACAACCACTACTTGTCGACACACATGTATTTATAGCAACTGATTGGCGCCAAGTTGCCCTTCCAGGCGATGATGTTGACAATATCGTCTACCACATGTTGATATGAGTATATACACCCCTTTGATTGATTGGTATGAATACATACTTTCAAAAGAGAGTGAGAGAGATAGGTTTGATTAATTGTACAAGGTAGGGTATGTACATACTCTAACACATCAATCAGGTGAGAGAGTGTTGAAGAGATAAAGAGGACGGGGTTATGGGGTAGTGTGGTGAGGGGGAATAGTGATTGATCAGCTGATCACTCAAGGTGTGACGGGTGTATTCTACATCATCAACCTCACATGGCCAGCATGCATATGTTACCTGGTGTTATCAATCAATCAATCAATCAATAAACAAATCAAAAGAGAATGAATGAATGAGAGTTATAAATTAATAACTTATGCTCATTAACTTAATTACTCTGGCGGGTTAGATGCCTCATGATCACAATCACAACTACAACAACTACTTTAAATTAATTGGATGGATGATGATGGTAGTTGAGTTGTTTGGATAGTGGGGCAGCTGCCATGTACAACTTGTGTGTGATTGTATTATTATTATTATACATAAACACACACAGCCTCTTCATCTCCAACGACCCCACTATTGGCAGTCCTTAGGCATGCCCGCTTTTGGAAGTTGGAGGGCCAATGTGGTCGAGGGGAGATTGATTGGAGATGGGCGGGAGGTCCCATTATCGCGACCTTATCTGAATCTGATTGGTTGGTTGGTTGAGATTGAGTTACTCAACCTCCACCTTCACCTCCTCCTCATCCTCCTCGATATCGTGGTAACTCAGGGACCTGGGGCAAGAGCACTTCCATGTTGTTGTTGTAGTGGATATCCTATTTTGGTAACTTAGGTTACCAACCAACCAACATTGCTACGTGTTGATGTAACGACCGCCGTTGATTGTGATTGGCTTGGGAGATTGATTGATTGTTGTTTGTTGTTGATGGTGTGCAAAGGTCTTCGCTTCACATCACAATGAATGAATGAATGAGAGACCAATGTTGTCAAAGCCATCCATATCTCTTGAATAGTAGTGCAATGATTGTTGCAAACAATGCCATGAAGGATAGGACGCCAATGAATGTGTAGAAGTTGTCGCCACCAGGCTCACCATAGATACCAGGGTAGCGAACGTTCATTCCCATGATGGCGGCAATCAGTGTGACTGGTGTAAAGATGGTGCTGATCGCAGTGAACTTCCTCATGCTCTTATCGATGTTGTTGCTAGAGTTGCTGACCTCAAGGGAGACGCGTGCCATATATATGTTGTTCAAGTTGCTCAAGAGCTTCTGAGACAGCGTCAACTTTTGAAGCAGACGCACGGTGTGATCTTGTACATTGCGCAGATATCGCAGCGTGCTCTTTGGTATGAATCGCTCGTCCACGCGCAGCAACACCGAGATGATGTCACTCTTGCCAAAGACACCATTGTTCAGGTTGGTGACGCGCTTACTGGCCAGGCCCAGTCGCATGTTCAACTCCTCCTGTCGCATACCGGACAGAACCATCACAATGTCGTCCAACGATCTAATCTCATACATGATCTTATCCACCAGATCAGTGTAGATGTCCACGATCACATCCAAGTATGAGTAAAGTATGAATGGTGCTGATGGCAATGAGTTGACTTGTGGCGAGCCCGGGTCATTTGACGTTGGTACTGATAGGCTTGTGCCTTTGGTGTTGGTAGTGCTTGTCGTGCTGGTCGTGCTTGTGCTTGTTCTACTGCTGCCACCTAGCTTGGGAGTATGGACAAACTTTGATGTTGGGGAGTAACTAATCATTCGAAGAACTTGTTTGGTACTGATCAGTGGACGAACATGTATGGTCAACATCATCTTTGGGAACAATATTAGATTAAGTCGTCCATTAACCAAGTTATTCGATGACTCTTCATAATGTATCTCATTTACAACAACAAATACATGATTGTTAAAGAACTCGCACTTCTCTCTTGTTGCTATATTATGTTGAATCATTAGTTAGTTGATTGAATGATTGATTGACAGTGCACTGACCAACATAACTTACTCTGACTTATGATGTCCTTCTTTGTGAGGTAGTGTACACCAAGTTCATTACAAATATCATTGATCTCCTTCTCATCCAATGCTTGACAATCAATCCAACAATCCTTCAAATTAGCAATATCCTTATCAGCTCTATCCTTTAAGAACACTGGTTATGATGATGCGATGGATGTCAGTCTATGTATGATTGATTGATTGAATGAATGATTGCCATGGACATACCCATCAACTCATCATATGTTAATGATCTACTTCTATGTGTAGAGGTCATTGACAGTACTATATGCTGGAGATAATGATGATGATGTCATTGTTAGTGCTTTTGTCATTGATAACCAGAGAAACAAACAAACATACCTTGCCATTAGTAAGTAATGGTTCATTATCAATATAATATGATGATGATCTTTGTGATGGATACCCTACAAACATCTTATAATATATAACTCTATCTCTGTCTTTATCTTAGACTAATTATGTACTTGTATTATTGATTAATAATGAGATTAATTGATCAAGTTCAGAGTGTGGGTGAGATGGATTTTGATTAAACGACACTTCCGATGATCGTTTTGATTGATGGGCGTGGACCAAGTTTGTCACATCTCAAAGTCACCTTGCTCCAAGTGATACTTACTTTGAAAGATTCGAAATAGTGCTCTTCTAAAGAAGTAGTGATGGAAGGTGATTGATAGTGTTTTGAAGTCTGTCTAATGTACAATGACTCGGGAACTGCCATCTTTGACCGTCCATCAAATACATCTTTAAATCAAAAGACATAGCTTATATAAAGGATCGACTCATTCTAGAAAACAGTATATATTTACAACAACAACAAACAAACAATAACAATCATTACATGTCAAAGATGTTACGAATGGCCACACTTCTTGGCCCTGCAGTACTGCTACTCCTACTTATACTTGGTTCACAAATCTCAAGTGCCCACGAGACTGAACGTAGACTAAGTCCAGAATCTACAGAGAAACTAAAAGCAATTGGTAGTTGGTCTGCCGCTGGTCTAGTCTCATGTGAGATGTGTGAGCTAGCTGCCGTCCTCTTTGAAGGTTTCCTCGAGGTATGTACATGTTTGAGTGATTGAGTGAGTGAGTGGCTGGATCAATCGATCATACGCTGACACTGACACTTCCACACCATCACAGAGGAATGCCACCACAGAAGAGGTTATCAAGACCACGACTGACGTGTGTAATACACTAAAGATCGAGCAACCTGAAGTCGTATGTATACCAAGTGATTAATCGAGTGTGAGTGAGTGATTGGAATCATTCCATGTGGACATGACACTAACCTCAAACAAACAAACAATCAATGGATATAGTGCCATGGCCTCATGTTTGCTTATGCCCCTGTTGTATATGATGTATTGATCGAGTCTGCATTGGAACCAAGGATGATATGCACAAAGTTGAAGATGTGCATGGCCAAGGAGAATACTTATGAACACTTTAATCAACTGGATCGTATGGCATCGTTTGGTTCCAACCTCCTGGACAAACCCAACTACAAAGACGTCAAGCCACAGGAGCCACGTCTAAAGGAGCCATTCACTGGCGTTGGATATATCTTGCAGTTGGCCGATATCCACACCGACCCATACTACGTCGTCGGCTCCAACCCCGACTGTGGTCGTCCAGGCGCATGCTGCCGTGATGGCACCGGTGACGCCGGCTTCTACGGCGACTACCTGTGCGACATTCCCCTCCACTCGGTCGGCTTGATCTTTGAGCAGATCCTCGAGGTGCACAAGACCTACCCCATCTCGCTCGTCGTGTACACTGGTGATAACCCACCCCACGACATCTGGAACCAGTCCATCCCGCGCCAGGTCGAGTCGACCGAGGTCGTCTCCAAGCTGATCAACGACTACTTCCACGACTTTGTCGTGTTGCCCAGTGTTGGCAATCACGAGAGCTGGCCCTCTGAGGAGTTCATCCTGCCCAAGAACCAGTGGCTGCTGGACGCTCTCGAGACATCCTGGTCGCCATGGCTCGACAAGGCCGAGCTCGAGACCGTCAAGAAGGGCGGCTACTACACCATGTTGGTGCAGAAGGGTCTGCGCGTGGTCTCGATCAACTCGTACGACTCGGACCTGTTCAACTTGTACAACTTGCTCGAGCACTCCAACATGAACATCAAGCACAACCAGTCGGATTGGTTGATCAACGTGATGGAGCAGGCCGAGGCCAACTCGGAGAAGGTCATCATCGTCGGCCACATCCCTTGCACACTCAAGTCCAGCGTCAACGACCATTGGTGCTCGCTGTACGCGTCGATCGTCGAGCGCTTCTCGACCATCATCGCGGCGCAGTTCTACGGCCACACCCACAAGGACCAGCTGGTGGTCTTTACGGACGCGGCCACCAACTCCAAGGCCACGGGCATGAACTACGTTTCGCCGTGCATCACCACACTCCTCAAGCACATGCCGTCGTTCCGTCTGTACGAGTACGACTTTACCACCAACGAGGTGCTCAACTACCAGCAGTACGTCACTGACATTCGCGAGTGGAATGCCAACGGCAACATGACCTTCCGTCTGGCCTACACGGCCAAGGAGCTGTACAACCTGCCGGACCTCTCGCCACAGTCCTGGTACAACCTGGCGCAGGAGTTCAAGACCAACGCCACGTTGTTCAACAACTATTATCAATTCCTGTACAACTCGCCCTATGGTCCACCACATGCATGCGATGACAACTGTCGCAAGACATGGACTTGTGAGATCTTTGGAGTCACTTCACAACTCTTTGACAAGTGTCTCGGTGTATAAACTATCATCCTCACCTGCCTTTGGGTCGCTGCCACCCTCTGTGCTTGTGTGTTTGTCTCGCGTCAATGTTGGCGCGCCACTATTTCCCCAAGCTAAGCCAAGTCCAGGATTTAGGATATTGATGTAAACTAGTTTATTAATATTGTAATCATGTAAACATTGAAGATGAACCTTGTTGGCCATCATCATCACCTGTGTGGATACCACCAGAGTACTCTTCAGGCACTCCTAGCTCGTCGTCCATTGCATCATCATCATAATAATCTTCATCATCGGGATCATTAATATAGTTACCAGTGTGAAGGTCACTATAGTCATCAACATTGTAGTAGTAGTTGATATGTTCATCTCGGTAAACGGCCAAACACATATCTAGACTGTCTTGGTTTTGCTTCTTGACAGCCTCTTCGAACAAGGTGTCCAAAGGACTCTGCATCTTAGATGTTATAAGTGCAGTACTGAACACTCCTTTCCGGATCAATAAGAACAAAATTAGCAGGACGACTCTGTTCTTGTCATCCCTATTATAGTCCAATGAATATATGAACATATCAATATAATACTCATCCTAAGTACACAATCGAATGATTATGAGTTAGTAAGCAAAGGAGTGAATGAATGTATGATGTACATACTTTGTTAAGATATGATTTGAAGTACCTCTTGTTGTCCAAATTCAACATGATGAGCAATGTTTGGAACATGTTGTCTAGACTCCTGTGGCTGACAAGTGGACCCAGGAGGTCCAAGCACCGATCAAACCTGCTAAAGATATGTTTACAGGTCCAATGAGAGATATCTTCCATCTTGGCAAGCAGTAGAAGTGCCCTTGATTGAATGTCTATCTCCTCTTCAATCAGCTGGTCAATGTACTCTGGGATTACTTCTGATGGGTATTGCGATTGTCCAAACACATTTTGTTGTGATATGGCAGAACTATCAATAATAGACTCAAGGGGATTATACCTATCCACCTGAGTTTGGACCTGGAGTCCCTGTTCTTGATGATGTGACTCAGTAATCCCTTGAGTTTGACTGATTGACTGATTGACTGAGTGAATGAATGATTGACCATGGTCCACCTTGAGTCCGTTGTCTTGTTGTTGTTCTAGGACCTCTACGGGAGCAACATTGGCATTTGGATGATTTGGTATTGGAGGCCTCCAATTTAGAAGAGCTTGGCTGCTCAATCCACAGCTTACCAATTGGGCCATTAGGAAGTCAGAGTTGGAACTCGGAGAATCTGCAGGTAGATAGACATGGTCGATTACTATTCGAGTATTCTTCTTTGGAAACAAAGTCTTGACCAAGTTCATGTCGTCAGCACACGAATGCAAAGTCATAAATGATGTCAGAATATGATGTCCCATTAGATTCTTCAACAAGTCTTTGCCCGTAGAAGGCATCATCATGTTATAATGGAATGCACCCTATTTAAATGAATATTGTTAGTTATATTGATTGGTCTCTTTCAAAGTTAAAAATATTATAATAGAACTTACCTTGGGAGAGTTGGAGTGCTCGACTCTAAGAGTTGATCCCTTGTTTCCAAGTTCAAACTCTCGAATTTGTTTCATGGCAGTTGTAATCTCTGGTCTCTCAGGCCACCCGAGCAAGTGGTCAAATGACTTTTGGATCTGCTCATAAATATACATGTTGTCCATCATGTTCCTGTTGAAGGGGCGAGCCACAGAGTTGGCACGATATGGGGAGTAGTCTACAACTACCTCTGGACAATCCTCTTTAAATTGTAAACTATTCAATATGTGATCGTTGATATACTGGACTACATAATGTACAGCTACAAAGTATAACTCTGATATCATTGAAAAAACATATTAATATTAGTATATGATAGTTAGAGAGTTCCAAGTTGTATAACTTACCTGCTGTGAAGATTAACAAGTTATCATTGTTATCCTGGAGGGAGGTAAGCATACCAGGAAGACAATTAAAAAATATCTCTATATCATTGAGGTTGCCTACTGTTGGACTTCTAAGATATAGAAGATATTCAAATAACTTGCTAATGAACTTATACTCCTCATTAGTCTCATGCTTAGTGAATATCTTCCTCAATAAACTCTATATATCAATTATATTAGTAATTGACCATTCAACTTTATCTATCAATTTTAAAACAATCTTACATGGAATGATTGAGGATCGGCGAAATATAGGTAGGAGTTCTCTAAAGAGTTTGGAATGAACTGTTTTAAGAGAGGGTACTAAATATAATATTAGTTAATTACTTAAAAGAAATTTATTAATATTATATTATATATATATTTACTTACAGGATGATAGTTGAAGAGTGTGAATTTCTTCTCTACAGTGTTTAGGACAATATTGAATCCACGTTGGTATGTTCGTTTAAGAACATCCTTCTCCTCCCCTTCCTTCTTCTCTTTGATATAATATTGCTCTGATATCCTTGTCAAAGCCTCTACCACATCATAGGAATCTTTAAACAGTTGCTAAATAAATAATTAGTATATGATTTCAATGAATCAATAAATAGTGTTTATACTTACTTTTTTTGTTCCTACTGCTCTACATAGTTTCTTCAAGAATACAATCTTGATATCTGCTGGGTCACTCACTAGCCAAACTGTCTTGCCTATTAACTTGTCCCTGATATTGATATTTTTTTCTTCATCTCTTGGTTCTCCTGCCTTTGTTGGTAACTTTCCTTGGGCGATAAGAAGGTATTCATGTATTTCAATTAAATTCGGACTAGATAAAAGATTAAATATATGATCCATATTAATATTATTAATATATATTAAATATATATAAGTAATAAAAGTAATAATAATTAATCTTTGGTCAATCAACTTTGAAGATATTTTGATTGACAGAAGGGATGAGTGATGAGTGAGTGTGATCATCAACCACATAGACGAGTTTGCAAAAAATTGGTCAATGGCAAAGTTATTGCAAATTTGTTGTGCATGGAAAGGAACCCCAAAAGGTTCAGTCAACGTTTTTTAATGGGCATGATTGGCTGCAGGCCTAATGATTAATGTACATCTGTCACGTGACACGCACTCACTCACTCTGCCCTGATGACGCTGGGGGTGGCTTCTTGTGAGGTCTACCTCGCTTCTTTTTCTCCTTCACGTCTACGGGCATCGGTGGGACGGGCCGACTGGGGTCGGTTTCACTTGCTGATGGTGTCACTGGAGATGCTACTGCAGGCGGGGCCACAACCACTGGTTTGGATACTGATTGAACTGCTGGTGGCTGCGGTAGTGGCGTGGCATGTGGATTTGCAAAAATTGGTTGTTGTTGAGCGGCTGTAGCTGATTGCACTTGAAGATTGATTGATGGTAGATGTGATGTGGCACCTCCACCAACAGCGGTAGTAGTGGCTGCCACTGGTGCCATTGCCGGTGTTGTTGCTGTTGTTGACGACGTCGATGAATCCAACTGAGGCGTGCTAGCCTTTGTATCAGACTTTCTAGGTTTCTTTGGCTTCGATGCCTTTGTCTTTGTTTCTGAAGTCGATGATGATGACGAAGACGATGCTTTCTTCCTTTTGGAGGTACTACTACTGCTACCACTTGCTGTCTCTGTCTTGGCGGTGGGTGTTGGTGTGGCTGATGGTGGCACTGTGGTTGGCTGTGTGGGAAGTGGCTGCAGCGGCTGGATGGGTTGCTGACCAGGTATCGCTTGCTTCTGTTGTAACTGTTGTTGTTGTTGCTGGTGTTGCTGTTGCTGTTGTTGATGTAATAGATGTTGGTGTTGTTGTTGATTCGGATGAAATTGAATGTTGCCGGCTGGCTTGTGTGATGAGGATACAGGTTGCAAATGTGCTTGGTGATGTTGTGCGGTGGGCTGGAAGTTGGAGATGGGCTTGAGTGTCGAGCCGTGCTGCTGTTGTTGCTGCTGTAGCTGTAGCTGTTGCTGTTGGTGCAGTTGCTGTTGTTGTAGCTGTTGTTGTTGCTGCAGCTTCGTGTCGACAAACAATGAGAACTCGCCAGGCTCGTCAATGTGCTTGGGGTAGCCGCGGCCAAACAGACCTTCGGTGGACCACTCGCTCGACACGTCGTCATTGTCGTGAATGACCATTGTGTTGGCGTGAGCTTTAAAGTCCTTCAGCACGGCAATGTTCTTGATGCCTAGCTGACGGAACACAAGGCCAAGGAGCATGGCCGTGTCGGCAACACTCTTGGTCGCGCCATAGTTTGAGAGATGTGAGCTCAACAACTTGCCAATAGTCGATATGTACGTGCCCGCAATGTCTGTAAGAACATTGAGAGCCTCTTGATTTGCGCCGACAAAGCCAGCCGACTGTAGTTGTGTTGTGATCGATTGAATGAGCAGTGCACTGACACGCTTGGCCGAGGTGAACTGGACGATGCCGCCGCTGTCGGGCTGCGTGTGCGAGGGTTGTGTGGAGGAGGATGAGAGTGTACAGGTGGAGGGCTCGGCGGGCTCCACGTTTGGCATCGAGTTGCACAGATGAGTGTACTCGGGGAAGAAGCCGACGCCGAGTCGGACAAACTCCAGGTCGTGCAGTTGTATCGGTGTGATTGAGCCATTGCTCGGTGCAATGGCAACTTGTCGCAGGTAGTTTGAATGTTGTCGCTGGGCCAGCTGTCCTTGTTGCAGCTGGCGTATCGTCGGTGATTGCAGCTGTGACAGATAGTGGTAGGAGGACATGTGTAGTGGCGTGCGCAGGAATGCGTCCTGATGAGGGAACGGCAGCTTGGACTGCGCCACAAAGTGCTCCATTCGCTTGACACGCGCCTGCTTAGTGAGCGTGCGCCAGCTGGCCACCTTGAACGAAGTCTCCTCCTCGGTGACGATCGCTGGGAACTCTTGAAGTGGCACGACGATCTCTGACTCGTCGAGCGTGACGGGAGGCGACAGGTTCTCCTCGAGTCGCCTCAGCTCGCCATCAATGTCTTGATACCTGTGTTGGTAGTCGTGCAGCTCCTTCTGCACCCTGTCGATCGATGTCTGTATCTCTGACTCGGTTTGTGTGATCTCCTCGATGGGCGCCTCGGGCAGCACAATCTCCTCCTCTTGATTGCTGTTGTTGGGGTTCTCGCTGCCATCCACAATGACGTCGTCTACAAAGTTCTCCATAAGCTGTGGCGACGACTGTCCCACCGACGAGTGGAAGGGTGACTGGTAGGTGTTGGACTGTGCCGGTGATGCTGGAGTTGACATGGGCGATGAAGGTGATGAGATGATAGGTGTGGGCGTTATTGGAGGTGTGATGGTTGGTGTAGCCGTCGATCGGCCTTTCCCGCGTGGCGTTCTAACTGTTGTCTTTGGTTGTTGTTGTTGATGGTGTTCGTCAATGTCGCTCAGTGGCAATGGTGGCGTTGACATTGACTGAGGTGTCATAGCGCCAGTCTTTGATGATGGTGGTGGTGGATCTTTCTCGATCGAGAAGTCGACGTCGCGAACCGATCTCATAAGTTCCTTTGCGCGCTTCTCCAACTGATTCGCATGGTCTACGTATATCCTGCTCGATGGATCGGTATTGTATATCCTACAATTGGTGAATATAAGGTTCAAGTCCAATTGGAACTCTGCCTTGCTTGTGTACCTGTTGGTGGTGGATAGGAGGAGACGGGAGAGGGCGGTCAGTGAGCTGGGCTGATGTAACGAACACAACAACACCCGCGTCCGACATACTCTGACTTCTTCAGTTTCTTTGTCATTAGTCCAAGATCCATTGGCCGCTTGATGATGTCGTAGTAGTTGGGCGCCTCAGACGCCTTGACCTTTTGAAGGAAGGGATAGCTGTTCTCACCGTCCTCTCGCAGCGCAGTGAGCACCTTCTCCAGTGAGTCGTACAGCTCTTCCTGTCCATCGTATTTGACGCCAGCCCACTTCTTGGACGATGTCTTGACATCTGTGAGCAGACTGCGTATCACCCTGCTGGCGGGGTTCCTCGTCCTCTTCTTCTTGGCATCCTCCTCTCTGCGCTTTCGCTCTATCTCTTGTCGCGCTGCCTCCTCAGCCTCTGCCCGACGCCGGGCAGCTTGTGTCGCCTGCTCCTGCTTGATCCTACATAGCTCTTTATAATGAGCGATGCGTTCGCTCTGCTCCTGTCGTCGAGATAACAATGCTGTCAGCTCTTCGAGACGTTGATTGAGGTTGCGGTTGATGACACGCACGTCCTCTAGATGTGTGGCGCGCTTCATCATGGTGGACCGCCGCTGCTCGGCCTCCTGCACGAACTGCAGACGACGCTGGCGCTCCTCCTCGATCAGTCTGTCCACTCGGTCTCGATCCTGTTGCTTTGCCAACTCGTATAGGTATCGCTCATAATCCTCTGCGTCAATCTCCAATGAGTAGTAACGATCATCGAGTGATTGCTCCAACACATCATTGACATCCTCCAGCAGACTATATGACTTGATTGAGTTGATGTCCATTTCAAATGTCGATGTTGTTGATGTTGTTGTCGTCATCAAACTATCACTATTACTACTACTATCATATGATGATGATGATGATGATGTCATTATACTATTACTATCAGACATTCATTCATTCATTCATTCGTTATCTAGTTCTCTCTCTTTAGGTCAATTATATGATTGATTGATTGATTGATTATTGAATGAATGACGTAGATTGCTGGTGATCTTGCCTGCCACAACTATGATGATATAGTTATATATATATATATTTATTTGTTATATGTATCTAATACTTAAATGAAGCAAGTACAGTGCCAATGTGTGATCATTCTCCAACGGACTGATTCAAAATTTGAATTTATGGTTTGATCAGTTCAAATCCTTGAACTTCATTCATTCAACACATTATTGGTCCTGGATGTATCAAGTGATCACTTTATAGTTGTATATCTGATGGAATACCTGTATACTCTGCTGATTTGTTCCATAGTTGTAACCAGTTCTCGGGCTTCTTGGAGAAGTTGTTGGAGTTGTACTGCTCGCGAAGGAAGAAGTATTTACCCTTGACTCCGCGGAGATCGTCACGCTCGCCCAAAGACAGTTCACTTACCGCAATGGCACTATCCCTCAACGATGTGATGAATGGTGCAAAGAGTGGGAACACCTTTTGAACGATCCAGCTGCTTCTGTTCAACTCTGTCTCGTGTACACTGCCTGGATGTAGAGTGTTGACCACAATCTTTGATCCCTTCTCATCCAGACGTCGTTGCAACTCGTATGTATACATAATGTTGCATAGTTTGGAGTTGGCATAACCACGGAAACCAACTGGCTGCTTGGGAAGTTCCTCCAGCTTGAGGTTGGCACTTGTATGTGCACGAGATGAGACTACTGTTATCCTTGGTTCATCACTCTTCTCCATTACATCCAACAATGAGTTTGTCAATAAGAAGTGGCCAAGATGATTCGTTCCAAACATTCCCTCATATCCATCCGCCGTCAACGTTGACTCATGATGCACAACTCCAGCACAATCAATCAAGTAATTCAAAGGTAGACCGAGTTCCTTAAAGTTCTTTACAAAGTCTCTGATTGACTAATGATGGATCATTAGTTAGTCGTTCATTCAATCATTCAATCAATCATTCAATCAATATCTTTTACATACTTGGAATGATGACAAGTCAAGTTGCATTACATTGATATCTTGATTGTTTGAGAACTCTTTGATCTCATTGACAACCTCTTCACCTCTTTGTATTGTACGACAACAAAGTATTATCTTCAAGTCTGTTGGATGTTGCTTTGCGATCAACTTGATCGTCTCCTTTCCAATACCATTATTGCCTCCTGTTATTACACAAACTTTCTTTGTTGACATATCTATCTATCTATCTCTAATACTAGTATATGTATGTTTATTGAATGAAATGAAGTTGAATGAAACGACACACCAATGTTGGGCAGTGGTAATGCAAAGTTCCGAATCCATTAATTTTATTCGATTGATCGATCTGTGATGTGTACATATATGACGTCGTTTCAATGATTTAATGGTTTAGTTTCCTCGGTACTGTGCGATAATGTTGAGCACCTTATCGCGTTGTTGTAGAGGTATATCCTTTTGTATTTGTTGTGGCGACAGTCCCAGAACGTAGTGTACAAACTGTTTGTGTTGTGGCGGCATCAAATTCCAATTGGCCATGGCCTGTGGCGTTAAGTTGGGAGGAGGTGGCGGTACATTTATCGGTCCACCCATAGGCATATTCATTCCACCACCTTGCATATTGTTGTCCATCATTTGTCCACCTCCCATTGGCATGTTCATTGGACCGCCGCCCATTGGTCCGCCCATCTGTTGAGGTCCACCCATCTGTGGCGGCATGGGGCCACCACCCATAGGACCACCCATTGGACCGCCCATCTGTTGTGGGCCACCCATCTGCGGAGGCATGTTCATCGGACCTCGTGGCGCATTCATATTCATGTTCCATGGCGCGCCTCCCATCTGTTGCGGACCACCCATCGGGCTGCCCATCTGTGGCGGCATGTTCATTGGACCGCCCATCTGAGGTGGCATGTTCATTGGGCCGCCCATCTGTGGACCACCCATCTGAGGTGGCATGTTCATTGGTCCACCCATCTGTGGGCCGCCCATCTGAGGACCGCCCATCTGTACTTGCTGTGAGGGTCCGCCCATCTGTGCTTGGAACATCGGTGAGTTCTGTTGTTGATTAAACTGTGGTTGTTGTTGTTGTTGTGGCGTCTGTGGTTGTTGTTGCTGGTTTATTGGCTGCTGTTGCTGTGGTTGCTGGCCCTTTAGGCTCATTGCTATTAGCTGTTGAACTGTGTTTTGGCCGATCATGCCCAGTACCACCTGAGCATGTAGCAGACCAAGCGCCAGTTGAGGGTTCGACATCAGCATTGCCCTTGCTCGATCAGGGTTCTGTTGTATCATCAGCTTCATCTTTGACATCGCTTCAAAGAGGTCCGCAGGGTTTACACTCTCAATGAGACTTTGCAGACCATCCTATCATCATGTGAGGGTTGCTCGTTAGGATCAGTGTCATCTCGATCACTCATTCATTATCAGTCAATCAATCTCTCGCTTACCTTCTTGCCCTGCATCTGTTGCATTTGTATTTGTTGCATCTGTTGCATCTGTTGTTGTTGTTGTTGTTGCTGTTGTTGATCCATGTAGATTGGTCCACCTCCACCTCCCATGTTCATATCATCCTTCTGAATGAATGAATGAATGAATGTGTATGAATGTTAGTTGATCGTCTAGATGACGTTGATTGAGTGAGCGAGTGATCTCGATAACATACCCTCCATTGGTTTGGTACACCACCACCTCCAACTCCACCTCCACCGCCACCTCCGCCGCCACCACCTAGACGCGGGTCATTGGGTGGCGGTGATGCCATCTCATTTGCCTTGTCATTGTCAGCGTATGACACTCTTAGGTTTCTCTTGCTATACTCTCGATTGTTTAGATTACGTATTGCGCTCTGTGCTGTCTCTGCATCCAAGTACTCGCAGAATCCATAACCTTTGGACTTCTTTGTGTCCCTATCCTCCACAAGTCTGAACGAGACCACTCTTCCAACCTCTGAGAATATATCAATCAACTCCTTCTCTGATGCATCATAAGGTATATTTCCAACTTTCATTCATTGATTCAAATGAGTAAGTTAATATGATCATTCAATCAATCATTCATTCAATCAAATCACATACCAAATACACTCTTTGCATTTATTGTTCTCGTAGACATTGCTTTATCACTATATTATATATTATCTGTATACTTCTCAATTACAACAATAAAGGGCGCAATCTAACAATCGACTCCATGTCATTGATTTGTGAAGCTCACTTTGACAAACTTTCAAAAATCGAGCAAAAGTTAACTAAGTTAAGGGATGTTTTATTCAATTTTCTGAATTAGCCAAGTCTGGAAATGGACGCATATAAATGGGTTGGGATAGTTCCATATGATTAGAGTATCCGGTGGAACATTTGAAGTTACTGTAAAAGATGGAATAGTGACTATCAACTTGTTTTTGATTACGATATATCAACTTTGATTGAGTCTGTCCATTGTTGTTGAAGTTGATCAAAGCCATGCCTTTGATCTTATCCACAATCCTAATATAATAATGTTTCTTCTGATGATTCTTAATTATATAATCCGATATATCAGTCGTCCTACTATTATGGAATATTGATTGTATAACCTCTGACTTTCTCAATGATTCCGCGCCAAACATTTGTTCAAACTTGACAATTATCCTCGTCTTGGACATGGCCGTGGGCAGAGGAGTGTTTCCCTGTTGATGCCATAACATATTTTCGAGAGTGACATCCATTCCATACCTATGATGGAAGATAAAGACTAACTTTGTGAGGTTGATCAATGTTTTTAGGATGATGTCACCTCGCTGGACTAAAGGATAACAATGATATCCGAGATAGAGTGTTGTGAGTGAGGCGGGTAGAGCACCCCGGCCCAAGGTTTGAAGGAAGTCACCTCCAAAACGTAGACTGGTCAGTGATAGTGTACTCAAAACCTTGGCAACATCCTTATTGAATTGAGGTCCAACCCTGAAGTCTTTGAGATTGATTGGCAATACTCCTTGTTCAACATAGTTGTTAAAGCTGTGGCCTAAATCCAATCTTGTGAGTGAGGCCGGAAGTGAACCAGGCCGTATATAGCCTCTAAAGTGCGTACCAAACCGCAGAGTCGTGAGGGATGAAGGTAGAAGTCCTGGCTCAATGTTGAAATTGACCCTGCTTCCAAAGGTCAATGAGGTCAGGCTTGGCGGGAGCGGATTGGTGGCCAATGATTCATTAAAGTATGTTCCAAATACAATATTCCTGAGTGATGGTGGATAGTAATTGATCAATGTCATTCGGTTGAATATGAGTGATTGGATTGATGATGGTAGAATGGCAGCCGTCAAATTTGTTTCGAAGAGTCTCCCAAAGTGTATTGATACCAAGCTCGATGGTAGTGCACAGAGAGCACCGTTGAAGCATTCGCCAAAGACTAGGTGTCTGAGTGATGAGGGCAGGACGCCAGGTTCAATGTTTTGATTGAATCGCTCTCCAAACCATATACTAGTTATAGAGTTGGGAAGCACACCAGGTTCAAGTCTTTGATTGAATAGTCGTCCAAACTTGAGATTGATCAATGTGGGGCCAAGACTTCCTCTGATCAAAGGTTGGTCAAATCTACCTCCAAACTCCAATGATCTTAACGGGGAGCGTGATATCCAATCGGTACCAATAGGTTGATTGAAGAATGAGCCACATTGAAGGATGGTCAGTGATGGTGGGGTGCTGATAGGCAGGTCATACTTGTCGCTTAGACGCAGACGAATGAGTGACTCGGGTAGTATTCCTTGCGTGATCGTATGTTTGTAGTACCCGCCCATTGAGAGATTGATCAGTCCAGATGGTAATGAACCAATTCGCAATGGTTGATTGAATCTCCATCCAAAGTATAACTCGATCACTGATGATGGGATGATTCCAGGCTCAACTGGTTTGTTGAACATGTGACCAAACTTGATTAGTGTGATTGATGCCGGCAGACTATGTTCCTCGAGTTGTTGATTGTAGGCGTAACCAAAGTGTATTTGTTGTAGTCCATCTGGCAATGAATGTGGTACAAGTGGCACGTTGTAATATGGTCCCAAGAATAAACATCGAAGTGAGCTAGGCAGGTCGCCATTCAGAATAGGTCGATCAAAGTGAGGATAGAGTGATAATGTGGACAGGTTTGACAGTTGCTTGACATCTTTGTCATTCAATGATGATGGTGATGATAGTTTCGTTATATATGGCAGTAGGTTGAACCTTGGAAAGATGTATTTGGACTGATCGTCAAGTTCTTCCAATTGATGAAGTAGTTTAAAACGTTGTTGATATAGTTGTTTACATGTGAGTAAGAAGCAAAGTACATCAATGTCACCAAGCATGTCAATCACTTGTCTTAATAATACATTTGGCAATGTTTGTATCATTGTTATTGTAGTTGTTGGAATGAATGATTGTGATCGATAGTTTGATCAAATTATTAGTGCACTCAAAGACACACATACATTCTAAAAAGACGAACGAATGCTATTGTCATTATTATCATTGACACTCAATCAATATAACATAGATAGATAGATATAGATATGTTGAATCTGAGTAGATTTATAACATCGACATGTCGATCAACAACATTTATATCATCATCAACATCAACTACATCGTTGTTAAATCCTCTGATCAATAATAATGCATTCGGTTTAACATCACTTACATCACGCGCACTCAACTTACTCAACAATAGTACATCACAGTCATCACTCAACTACTCCACTTCATACTCAATCGACTCAAATGACTATGACAACAACAATACAAGAGGCGGAGGTGGTCGTGGTGGTGGCAACAGAGGCAGCAGAGGTGGTCATGGCGGATCATCCCGAGGTGGACCATCACAACAGAGATCATCCTCATCAAGAGAGGTCATAATAGACTCATATAAACAGTCACAATTACAGCCACGAACACAGACACAGACAAAGACAGCTACAAGACGATACGACAATGACGATGAAGATGAAGGCGAGGACAGCAAATACATCAGTGAGGATAATGATGACGATGATACCACTCAACTACAACAACAAGTAAAGGACATCGATGGCAATGAGAAGAAACTTCAACGTAGACATTGGCATCCACTTCGAAATCTGATGGACAATGATGTGTGGCGAGTCATCGAACAGATGCAATGGAGTGCACCAACCGATATACAACTCGAGCTGATACCAAACATACTCAAGTGTAGGAATGTAAGTATGATTAATTGATTGATTGATTGGTCTCGGAAGTTGTGATTGACACTGATACATCAATCCCCATCTCTAGATACTGGCATCATCAAAGACTGGAAGTGGCAAGACTGCTTCGTACGCGATACCAATGATCCAGATTGTACATAGCATCAAGAAGAAGATAGCAAGTGGAGTGGAGACAACAGAGGCAGCAGCATCAGAGGGTGGCAATAGCCCCACTCATATACCAGTCATTGTAACAGAGAAGAAGCTGAATGGCAACGATCCACTCGGTCTGGTGATCGTGCCAAGTCGTGAGCTAGCCATTCAGGTGAGCGAGGAGGTCAGCACGCTGTCGCAGCACATGGACCTGCGCGTCCAGACCATCTTTGGCGGCGTGGGCGAGCACACACAACTCAAGAACATCGGGCTGGGCGTCGACATTGTGGTCGGCACGCCCGGCCGCATACTGCAACTGGTCAAGGACGGTCAGCTCAATCTACGCCAGGTGCACATCACGGTCATTGACGAGTTTGACAAGCTGTTCAACTATGGCTTCTTCCCCGACACCAAGGAGCTGTTTGACAGTCTGCCCCTCATCCAGAACAGGAGCAGGGATGGCATGCAGACAGTGCTGATCTCGGCCACTGTGATGCACGAGAAGCACGATGGACTGATCTCTCGTTTCTCGCCCAATCATACAATGGTCAACCTCAACCCCGAGCTGCAGGCGCCAAGCCAAGTGCGCCAACATTTCTATCACGTGAGCTACCGCAAGAAGAGGAGTCTTTTGCTGTACTTCTTTAGGAGGAGCAAGGGCAAGACATCGCTCAAGCATGCCAAGGTGCTGATCTTTGCGAGGACGCAGCAGCGTGTGGAGAACCTATGTCGCGCGTTGGAGGAGAACAAGATCAAGGCCATCAGTATCCATGCAGACTTCTCGCCGGCCAAGCGAGCGGAAGCCGTTGAGAAGTTCAAGTCTGATGAGTATCAGGTGTTGGTGGCCACTGATGTCATGGCGCGTGGCGTGCACATTGAGAACCTGGACGCAGTCGTCAACTTTGATGTGCCTCACGTGTCGGAGGACTACCTACACAGGATTGGACGTGCTGGTCGCCTTGGCCAACAAGGCTTCGCTCTAACATTCGTGTCGCGTCAAAAGCTGGTGTTTGAGGTTGGCAAGCGAACAGTTGGATTGGACGAGAAGCACTTGGTGTCAAACATTGAGAAGGTGATGGCCAAGGACGTCAGGTTCTCCAAGGTGCCTGGCCCATGGGTCGAAGAGGGAGGTGAAGAGCTAGACCACGACATCAGAGTCAAGTCAGAAGATAGACCTTACGACGATCATCCACATCAACATCAACAACATCAACAACAACAACAGGATCATAACGAATCATCAACTACAACTGGCGACTACACAATGGACAAAGAACAGAGACATCATCAACGAAAGGAGAACAAGGCAGTGGCCGACCTGCTCATTCAGAAGAATATCTTGGAGACTTACAAGGGCCCCAAGTCCATGGATGGCATGCCAAGAGTGCGTTTCAATCCAAACGCCAAGGTGAAGAACAGAAAGATGTCCAAGCTCAAGATCGACAGGAAGGGTGAGATCCTCGACCTGCCGCCCATCACCGACTTTGAGGAGGGCAGATACGAGGCAGTCATCGAGGGCTTTGACAAGAAGAGAGCAAAGCGTCTTGGTGTCGGAGTCAAGATGAGAGAGAAGAAGGTGTTCAAGCCATCCAGGATTGTGACCAAGCGCCAGATGAAACGTAATGATTCACAACAAGGTGGTGTTGGTAATGAGGAAGCATCATGGCAATAAACGAATCGAGGCTGTCATGTGTCGTATCATCATATCAATTATACTGTGTATTTGTTTGTTTGTTTGTACTTTCCACGATTGATCCATTCCAATGCAATCAACAGTGCAGTGACCATTCTGTTTGCTCCAGCTTTTCAATCAGTTGTGCAATGTCGTCATTGTACTGTCTGATGTTATGTTGTATCGACTGCATTGGGTTCATGTAAGTATGTTAGTCTTGATGTCCATGGACATGATGTGTCATATGTCCTCAACATACCTTTGCAACGTCTATCATTGTAGGTAGGTTATTGTTGCCAAGTGTTCGGTTGATATTATAAAAGGTGGAGTGAGTCTTTATACAGTATGACCTCCTTAATGCCTCGTTCAATTCTCCTGTTATGATGATCAAGTCGTGTTAGTAGTTGTCAACAACATCAACAATCTTACTTAATCAATCAATCGAACATACTCAGTTTTCCGTCACCTAAGCTCAGTCTACATTGATGAAAGGTCACAGTGTGTCGTTAGTATCAATGAAATGATGATTGATCGTGATGTTGTTATGTTACATACGGCACTCTAGTCTGTGATGATTGTGATGGTCTTGGGAATAGAAGCTGGTTGGTGTTGGTGGAAGACACAGTACCAGTGCTTGCCTTGGTTGATGTTGGAGTTGTTGATGTGGCAGCTTTGATCTGTGCCGTGTCTGAGGTGGAAGATGATAATAGTTGCTTGTCTTTTGACAGATCGCCTACTATTGTTTGTGTTACATTAGTTGCATTGAACTCCAATGACTGTGATCGATTGAGTTGTAGTGTAGCATTGTTTGTTGGGTTTGTTGTTGTTGACGCAGAGACAACACTTGAGGGTGTGGCAGCAGGGGCAGTTGATTGTGCGACATATGCTGGTACCACTGTAGCAGCAGCAGCAACAGTAGCACTAGGTTTTGATTGAACTGCTGCTGGTGTTGTTGTTGGAGTAGCTTGAGTTGTAGCTACTGGTGTTGAAGTAGACTTCTTCTCGACTACAACAGGAACATCATCATCCTCCTCCTCATCATACTCCTCATCATCCTCATCCTCCTCACCCATAACAATCTTTGAACTCTTGTTGCTTGCCATCTTGTATCTATGTATATATATCTGTATCTGTATCTTTATCTGTGATCTCAATGTGTGATCATCGGAAATGAGTTCATCCACACAAAATCTGAAAAAGTTATGAATTTTGCTTGGAATTGAAGAATCGCGCTCTTTTTCAAAGTCTTGTACTTTAGTTGTCAACATTCGACTTCAATATTATCTGTGTACAGATAAAGATATATATATTACAACAATAATGGATATAAAGAAAAAGAGACTATCTACTGTACCAAATCCTATTACAAATGGTACAAAGCAACAACAGACACAGCCACAACAACAACAACAACAACCTAGACAATCTGTTGCGATGCTCAATGATGATGAGGCCGAGAAGAAGGTGTTGAAGAGAAAGAGTATATCATCAAGCTCAATGGCTGCATTGGCCAGTCAACAACAACAGCAGAGACAAGCAGTTGCAAAGCAGCCCTTGAATGTTGTTGTTGATGATGATGATGACAACGATGAAACATCAAAGCCTGTGACAAAGTCAAAGTCAACAACATCGACAACAACAACAACAAACACTGGTGCTGGTACTACTTCAAAGAATCTACAACCAAACATGCAATTGTCTGCAGTACCATCTATGAAGAGGAAGTCAGTGATGCCTACACACAAACAACCAGCAGCAGTGTCCAAACGAATGCTATCCAACGATCAAATAACAGAGATCTACGCCAATTGTATCAAGTTGTCCAACGAGAACGTATGTTGTGTCACACCTCCAAATTCAAGGATAGTTCCATACTAACTTCAATCAATCAATCAGAAAATCAATACAAAGAATACATGGCAACTGAGTTTGATTGATCACATTAGCGATGTATTGGAGAACAATGTTGAGGAAGATGATATGACAAACTTCCAAAAGGCTTCGTGTACATTGGACGCCAGTGTCAAGATTTACTCGACTCGTGTCGACTCGGTCCACACAGAGACATTCAGGATGCTGGGCGGTCTGTCACACGCCGAGAAGGAGAGCAGCGACGCGGAGAATGACGCCAGCGACCAGGATGCAGACCGTCCCAACGCTGACAATGCAGAGGATGCCAATGGCGAGAAGAAGCTCAAGAAGAAGAAGAAGGGAATCAACACGCTCGAGGCCAACATTGACAATATCAACAGCAAGAAGTTTGACCTGCAGTTCTTCTTTGATCCCCTGTTTGGCAAGACATCGGCCGCATTTGATGAGGGCGGTGCCAAGGGATTGCTGCTCAACAAGCTGTCCATTTATGGCGATTGCAAGTTGGTATTCGATTCCAATGACGCCATCAACAGTACAAGCAGTGGACCACGTCCAGCAACAACACACTACGACGCAATGGAGATGGACAATGATGGTATTATCATCAGCCAGGACTCAAGGAAGAGCACCACATCCACGCCCGATCGAACAGCGTCGTCATCCTCTCAATCAGCAGCAGGCATCTCAATCAATCTAGCGAGTTGGAAGCGATTGTTTGCCCCACTGCCCACTGGTCAGGCGGGCGGAAAGGGTGACACAGTGATCTGTCCGACGTTCTCCCTGTTTAGTGATTGGGGCACCAAGAGCACGGTGACCAAGGCCATGGACGAGGAGGACGTATACGACAATGCCGGCCAGATCGACTTGGACGTCGAGGACAACATCGCATTCGACAATGACCACCTGAGCGACAGAGAGGACAACGACGACGCTGTGCCAGACAACTACTTTGGTGGCGGTGGCGGAGACCACTTTGAGTATGACATGGGTGGTGGCGGCGGTGGCGACTTTGATGACGACCAGGGCGGCGGCGGCGATGACATTAGGACACCAAACATCGTCAACTCGGACAACTGGGAGGAGTTTGGATTCTTTGATCATCAGAACTGGCTGGGACCAGAGCACTGGAAGTTCAAAGCCAACTCATCAGCATCAAGATCATCACTCAAGTCCACAGCAGCAAATGATCAGGACAGTGACGATGACATTGGACACAAGAAGAAGAAGACATCATCCAAGAAGAAGACACAGACCACTATAGACTTTGATGCACCGCCACCTCCAGACTCAATGTTTGAGCCACCACGCGGTCGTCAATCCACCGTACTCACAGCAAACGCCCTAAAGAAAGCATCAGAGATATCGACCATCCTTCCACCTGACATTCATTACGATCAATCACAACTCAGTCGACTATTCAACAAGCCACAATGGATCATACCACCTGTAAGTATCGAGGTCATACGTGTGCGGAGCATCGCGTCCATACTGACCCATCGCCCTTAGTTGAGCAAGAGAGATCAGTTCTTCAAGAGACTATACTCAAGAGAACAGACTGGCCAAGGTGGGGTGAATGATAGACAGATAGACAACAGCAGTGAATATGACTTCCCAAGCTCTCAGTGCTTGAATGATGACTTTGGAGGAGGCGGCGGTGGCGATCACGACGACTCTTTTGACGATGCAGTCGGTGGTGACATGGGCGGAGGCGACTATGACATGGGAGGAGGTGGCTTCGAACCCGACTTTGACAATGGTGGCGATGGTGGTGCCATGTCCGACGCTGCGGCCATTGGTATCAATGGTGGCAAGCTTGTGGACATACCAAACAAGGTTGCCAAGTTGGACATTGCCTATGAGAAGGTTGCAAAGAGGATTGATGTCAAGGAGCTCAAGACCTCTGTGTGGCGACTGATAGACACAACCGAGACGACGCAAGATACACGAACAACAACAACGACAAGCAATCAGTTCGCAGAGGTTATTGATGGATTGAACATTGGAGCACAGACCAGCAATGTCTCTGTGGCGCTGGCCTTCATCTGTGTGCTACATCTAGCGAATGAGAAAGGACTATCCCTTGTACAACCTAGCAAGACAGAAGAACAACTTGGTAACTTTGCCATTCACAAGTGAATTATATTATTTTTAGGTACCTAACGAGTAAAACGTATTCGATCAGGCAAATGAGGGAAAGATATTTGAGATCGATCAGATCAGGCTAATGAGGGAAAGGTTTTTGTTTGGGATCGATCGTCAAATGAGCTCAATTGATGTTGTTGGGCCATTATTCTCGGTTTTATTATAAGTATGGATTGTTAACAATTGAAACAAATATAAAATAACTTTGTTGTTAATACTACTATTACATCTATGTACTGGTGAAAGCAATGACACCTCTGTGACAGGTAAGTAGGTCAGGCAGACGATCAGACTTGTCTGAGAATTGATCAATCATTCAACATCATCATAATAACATTTGGTCAATCAATCAATCAATCAATCAATCAATCAATCAATCAATCAATCAATCAATCAATCAATCAATCAGGGTCAGGTAGAATCTATACAGCTATCATTGATAACTGCATTAATCAATATAGTTGTGTTCTCGATGCCGTCAATTTTAGGTATCCAATGTTCTTCTTGAATGATGGGACAAATGGCCCTTCATGCACCAATCCAAATGACCAAGTGGTGATCGGCTTTCAGAATTCAGCAAACCCGGATGATAATTACTTTGTTAGATTCGCCAAATGTTCACTTGCCTCAATCACATTATCTCCCAACCATGTCATTGCCGTTCAACACCTCGCTTAAAATCCAAACACTCACCATGAACAACAACTCTATTATCGAGGATTGCCCAAGTTGTTTGATCACAGTTACCGATGGTGCTATGGTGAATGGTATTTTGAGTATGAAGAGCATCTTCCTCGGGAACGCCACCATCTATGGAACAATCAAGCCACAGAGTGCATCGGATTTCTTGGCAACTCAGTCCAATGCCCTTGAATCTGGTTCGACACTAATCGTCATTGATGACTCAATCTCATGGTCGCCCTCGAACATCCAAGCCTCAATATCACCCAACATCTCGATTGCCTTCAACTCTGCCACCTCCATCACCATTGTAGATATCCCTTGTTTCTCTTATGATTTCTCCGCCTCAACAGCCGTCGTCAGTCTTTCCAGTACATTGGGTAACACTTAACCTCGGTCATTGTGTCCTCATTGGGAATCACACCTGTCCGGCCACTTCAACATCGCCATTTTGAATGGGCCCAAGTCTGGCATCACCGCAGTCCTGATCGCCCACCAGTCCAACATCACCATCATCATGTCCAACCTTCAAGACTACAACTTATCACTCACAGACTATGCCACACTAAACCTTGGGAGAGGATTTGTGATTTCTGGCACATTCCAGGTCTATGACCAGGCCAACAGTAGTATCTCGATTACTCCCAACACACTGGAGTCGTACAACGCCAACATACCACTACTGGCATATTTTGATGGCTATGGCAACACTAGCCTGTCATCATCTGGTGGAAACACGAATATATCATTCGATCGACAGAATGGATTTTCCTTCATTGAAGCATCGGCAATGCTGTCATGTCGATCAATGGTGATGCATTCTCTGGAACAGTGCAAGCCAATCAAATGAGCAAAATATTTATGGATGTACAAGAATACTCAGTTTTTCAATCCAACTTCACTTTGATCGCCAACTCCAACTCGACGATCAACTTCAATTATGGAAAGGCTGCTGGGTGGTCACAACAAATAGTATTGAATGCCTCTGCTTCAGACCACTCGTCCATCATCATTCCACATTTTATCGATGCCGTCATCAACAGCCTAACAGTCAGCAACAATAGTGATATTTCAATCAATCCATCATCTTCATTGAGTATATAACACCAGCTTTGTAGTGAAACAACAAAGTTCCATTTCACTCCCCACTCTTACTGGCAGTGCCTACATCATGGTCAGTGGCCAGTCTGCAGTGAACTTAACTGGACATCAGCTGATGGGAACCTTCCAAGTCATTGATCAAAGCACTCTCTCCATCATTGACACTTATTGGGTCACCCAAACTCAGACCCAAATCAATTTCAATGCTGATAACAACTCTCATCTGAGCCACACTAGTCAATTAGCACATTTGGGAAACATCAGTGTCTCCAACAACTCATCAATCAATATTTCATGTACTCAAGTACTAATGATATATGATGTGTCCAACATTGTGGTGCGGCATCAGTCCAACTTGACAAAGACTCCTTTCGGCCAGGGTACGGCCAATGTTAAGATTAGTGGACAGAGCACCTTCAACATACCTGCTATGGCACTCTCTGGTACATTCCAAGTTAGTGACCCTGGAAGCACCCTTTCAATCTTTGACATATCTGCTGCCCAAGTCAATCTGATTGCCGATACCAACTCATATATGAGATACAGCAACAATGATACCAGTATTAGTAGCCTAATATCTCTCCAGGTGTCGAACAGTTCAACGATCGACATTGAATGTCCCTCATGTTACCTGTGCAACGACAACGTCATCACTGGCAATAGCATTGTGGTCTTTGGAAACCCTTCGCCATCCAACTTAGAATTCCAGTTTAACATCTCGATGAACTTGGGACAGAACTCAACATTGGTCAATCCCCCTCCTTTGATCAACATCATTGATGCCATCATCACCATCGATCAATCCAACTTGGTCCTCTCTGGCCAAGGTGTGTCTGGCAGCTTCACCGTCATGAATGGTGGTAATCTTTCACTTTCAGACAATGAGGCAGCCACAGTTATGCTGCTTAGTTCAGGCGCCAACTCTCACATAAACTACACCAACACTGCATTACAAAGCTCAACAATCAATGTTCAAGCGCTTCAACAATCCTCAATCACAATTGTTCAGTTGGCATTATCCTTGCCGACACATATGTTGGTGGCAGTAGTGCTGTATCAATTAGCTCATCATTGGCACCCACTGCTAGCAGCCAGACCAACTCCCGAGTGGTGGTGGAGCAGCAGTCATCACTCTTTGTTCAGTCTGTTGGCAATACCAACATTGGCATTTATGTTGAAGACCAGTCCATCGCCTCCATCACAAACACACAGGCAGGCAACTTTTCCCTTGTCTCACTATCCGACTCAAAGTTGATCTTCAACAACACAGCATCAATCTCCAGCTTCATCTCCATCAACGCCACCAACAATGGAGTGATCACAGTTGATTGCCCAGGTGGTGTCATCATGGGCAGCACCTATGTCGGTAGTGGCAGTGAAGTAACATTGGGTCCAGCATCGGCACCCACAGTCAACAGTCAGTCGACTATTCTCATGGTAGTTGAGGAGAAATCATCGCTCCTGGTCCAGTTCCCACTTGCACTTTCAAACCTTGGTATCACAGTTGATGACCAGTCAACCATGTCCATCACGAACACTGTTGCAGGCAACTTCACACTGGTCTCACTTGACAACTCAAAGTTGATGTTCAACAACACAGCTTCCAGTTTAAGCAACATCGCCATCAACGCCACAAACAATGGTGTGATCACGATTGATTGCCCAGGTGGTGTACTTCTTGGTGACGTCTATGTTGGTGACCACAGCACAGTCACACTCGACATTGCCAAGTCTGTCTCTGCCACAGGCTATGGAAACATCGTCTTGGAACAACAATCATCACTTGAGTCCAAGGCACCTCTGACGGCGGCCAACCTCACTCTCCTCTCTGGATCAAAGATGCAACTAGATGGAACAATCCTCGCGGTGGTCAGCCCTCATCCAAACATTGGATCATTCGTCTCAGTCTCTGGCGACAGTTCAATCGAGTTCAAGAACCCATTCTCATCATCATCGTTCTCAGCTGCCACGATGACCTGCACCTCCGAGTCGTTCCTCTTCCATGGCCAAGCTATTGTGAGCTACAACTCAAAGAACCCAGCGCATGACACCTACTGTCTGATTGATGTGACCATGCCACAAAGTACGCCCTACACCATGGTGTGGCCCAAGTCGACCGATGTGGCTCCGACGTTGACCTTCCCCACCAAGTTCTCTGTTGACTTTACCAACAACCGAATGACTTTGAACATCCATGGTATGACCATGGGTAGTTTCATTGGAATCCTTGTTGGAAGTGCGGTGGCATTTGCTGTGCTGGTCGTCGGTGCTGTGTTCCTGTTCTATCGTCGATGGAAGAAGAATCAAAAGGATGGATACTCAAAGGTTCCAATAATCAACGCTGATGATGAAGAATAAATGATGAGTTACTATTGGTCGTCGTATTGGTGTTGATGTGTTCAATCAGACTTGATGGTTTGTGCTTTCTCATCAAAAACAGATTGTGCTATATAAATCTGTTTCAAATTTGACTCCATCTTAGTTATTGGGTGTGGGACCACAAGGCCTCCCATACCTTAAAAGGTCCAATCACTCCGAGTGGCATCGTGGTGTTAATTATATCCCAGACCCCTCAGTATGATAGTATCTACTTGGACGGTCAACAACAATAACTTGTCGTTCCATCTTGAACACCAATCACCAGGACTATATTCGAATGTCTTCCCCAGTAGTTCAACTCTACACTCCAGGATAGACAGAACAAACAAATATCTGATTAATTACAAGTCATTCTTGCACATGTCAAAAGAAGTATGGCAGGTATACAAATACATAATATAACAAAGTTATTGAATTCAATAACTTTGTTGTTGATATTGTGTCTACTTCATCAATGCAATGGGAAAAGTAATAATATCAACTACAACAAAGCGAACTTGGACAACAACACTGTTGCTAATGGTAAGTGATCATTCTGCCAATCCGTCGGTCAGTCGACTTGACACTGTATTGACATCATCACATCCATCAATCAATCAATCAATCAATCAATCTGATGTAGGAGGTAGTTACTGGGCAATCGCAGATAATTGTAATGATCCAAACTCATGTGTATTCGATTCCAACCAACCGGTGTATCCAGGTGACTTTTGGACGGATGGGAATGTACCATCATGCACCAATTCTCAGGACCAATTTGTCATCTCCTTTAGGGACCCAAACCAGCTTGCCAACTACTTTATTAGATTCGCCAATTGTTCAATGGCTTCAATTACTGTAAACCGGGTTCCCGACTTTGAACTCATCCATCCAATCACCCTTTCCTTTGATCAATCAACTGCCGACACTGTCATCAATCTTTATATGGACGTTGTAATCACACCCCTGATTACCGACTTGTACTTGGGCTCAATCGGTTTGTTCAACACATCGATGTCAATTCCCGCCAACAACAACCAGCTTACGATCTTAGATCTATATATGGACACAAACTCGTCTTTTTCGCTCACTGGTGGCAATGCAACACTCAACCTAAGTGTAGGCAATCTTATAACCGGTAGATTCCAAGTGTATGACCAAGTAAACAGTCGGATCTCGATGACATCCAACTGCTTGGAGTTATCCAACGCCAACGTACCTATGCTGACATATGACAATGGTTATGACCAGAATAACATGACCACGTCTGGCGGCCAGACGTATATTTCATTCGATCAAAATGGAATGGCGATCAAAACATCGGACAATGCCATTATGTCGATCATTGGTAATGCATTCTCTGGTACGTTGGAGGCCGATCAAAGGAGCTCAATATCAGTGGAACTTGTTCAACCCTTAATCTCATTACCCCCTACCATCAACTTGATCGCCAGCACCTACTCGACCATCAACTTCCAATTCGTTGACGTTTTCAATCAATTAACTTTGAGCGTATCGTCCTCTGACCACTCGTCCATCAACATTCCACTCGCTATCAATGCCGACTTTGACAGCATCATGGTCAACAACAGCGCATTGGCAATCAATCAATCATCGATATTGAGGAGTGTTTACACGTTCTCTAGCATTGTGGTGCTTCAATCAAATGCAACTATACTCCCACCTGTTTCGGGTAACATCAATATCACGGTCAGTGGCCACTCCTCCTTGAATATAACAGCACCAATGCTCAGAGGCAACTTCCAAGTGAGTGATCAAAGCACGGTCTACGTCGCTGGCAACCAATGGGCCTATCTCAATCTAAATGCCGATGGAAACTCGCACCTTAGCTACATCAGCAATGGTACAATAGGTGGTCTGCCTATCAATTTGGCAATGGTCAACGTCTCTAACAACTCATCAATCTATGTTTCATGTCCCGATCAAATAATAAGAGCTGCTGGACCCAGCCCATGCGGCATTGTTGTGGAGAAACAATCCAATCTGATAATCACACCTCAATTTAGCGGCTTGGTCAATATCAAGGTTAGTGGACAGAGTACGTTGAACCTTCCTGCCTTTGGACTCGGCGGCACATTTCAAGTGAGCGATCAAGGCAGTACCCTCTCAATCTTTGACACGTTTCCGATCATGACCAGTGTCAACCTGATCGCTGATGCCAACTCGTACATGAGCTACAGTAACAATTCACCATATGTAAACTTTGTAAATGTCAACGTATCGAACAGCTCATCAATCAACATTGAATGCCAAGGATGTCAACTCTACAACGACAGTGTCATCACTGGAAATAGTAACGTGTACTTTGGAGACTCTATACAGATACAGTACTACGACGTCCGAGTTAACATATCACTTCTCTTGGGACCGAACTCAACACTGGTGAATCATCCGCCTTTGTACAATGTCAGTGCGGTCATCACAGTTGATCAATCCACTCTGGCCATCATTGGTACTAGTGTGTCGGGTAACTTCACTGTCATGAATGGTGGCAGTCTTTCAATCTCTGACAATGATGATGCCACAGTCTTGCTCTCGGGCTCGGGTGCCAACTCCCTCCTGAACTACACCAACACTGCAGATAAAAGCGCAACAATCAATGTCCAAGCGTTGGATCAATCCACGATCACTACCAATTGTTCAAATGGCGCTATCCTTGGCAACATCTATGTTGGTGGTGGCAGTGAAGTAACATTGGGTCCAGCATCGGCAACATCGGCCAACAGTCAGTCGACTATTCTCATGGAAGTTGAACAAAAGTCATCTCTCTTGGTTCAGTTCCCTCTTGCCCTTACAAGCCTTGATATCAAGGTCAATGACCAGTCCACCGTGTCCCTCACGAACACTTCCAGTTTCAGCAAAATCTCCATCAACGCCACAAACAACAGTGTGATCACCATTGATTGCCCAGGTGGTGGACGTCAACAGAACTACAGCACAGTCACACTCGACAATGCCAAGTCTGTCTCTGCCACAGGCTATGGAAACATCGTCTTGGAACAACAATCATCACTTGTGTCCAAAGCACATCTGGTCGCTGCCAACCTCACTCTCCTCTCTGGATCAAAGATGCAACTAGATGGAACAATCCTCGTGGTTGCCAACCCTGTTCCAAACATTGGATCATTCGTCACAGTCTCTGAAGACAGTTCAATCGAGTTCAAGAACCCATTCTCATCATCATCGTTCTCAGCTGCCACGATGACCTGCACTTCCGAGTCGTTCCTCTTCCATGGCCAAGCTATTGTGAGCTTCGACTCAAAGAACCCAGCGCATGACACCTACCGTCTGATTGATGTGACCATGCCACAAAGTACGCCCTACACCATGGTGTGGCCCAAGTCGACCGATGTGGCTCCGACGTTGACCTTCCCCACCAAGTTCTCTGTTGACTTTACCAACAACCGAATGACTTTGAACATCCATGGTATGACCATGGGTAGTTTCATTGGAATCCTTGTTGGAAGTGCGGTGGCATTTGCTGTGCTGGTCGTCGGTGCTGTGTTCCTGTTCTATCGTCGATGGAAGAAGACTCGATGTCCAAATGAAGGATACTCAATAATCAACGATGATAAATGAATATTAATCCTTGATTGATACCACACTGCAGTGCCATAGTCATGAGTCCATAACTTGGATAGAATTGTTGAATCACCCAATTCTTCTCTACATATCGGTTGATGCACAATTTGTCCTCAGCAAGGTCGCCATCCAGGCAATCAAGATTTGTTCGTTTTATGATTGATCGTTTGGATGACTGATTCTGGGATCATACCACCACGTTCTGTTGATTGAGGTCTTTCTTTACTTCTTGCACAGTGGTGGTTTTTGGAGTATACATTTCCAAGAACACCAATACGTCAACTGTACAGAAACATGTTTATATGTATGTAGAACATTCTTGTGTCTTTCTATGAACTCCGGATAGTCCGATCCGAACCCTCCTCACAACAAGTGACAATACCCCATTAATTATATAATTAATTTTATTTATTTGGTGTGGTACAATGAACAACAGATCCCTTAACACACCATTATTCATTCATTCATTTCAGAGTCAAACATACTTACACATACAGATACACAAACATACATCATTTCACAAAGTGATAACCTTAACTATCTATATATCACTATTATAACAACATATTCATTCATCATCTTTATATTAATTTAAAGAAGAAATGAGCTGCATTAGCAACATTAACAAAGATGATAGTACAGCATTGATGGTGTGTTAAGGATCATTGATGCTATTCATCATTCATTTTATAACATCAAGCAACAAATACTACAAAAATATTTCACTTTACTTTTATCACTGAACATCATTCTTCCCAACTTACATTTATCACTTGCACAACTCTCCTTTCACTATCACTCCGCCATGTCACTCACCAAAGAATCATCACCAGATCAAGTCAGTGCTTGGCTCAAGCACAAGAACTTTGATGGTGCTGTAATCAAAGCTCTGGGATCAAGATATCGCAGGAAAGAACTTCATCAGGTTGACCAGAGCAAGACTTTTGATTCCTCCTTACGTATTCAAGGATGCTGTAATTGATGATATCTTGGATGCGATTGCAGAGATCACTGGCACAAGTTCCCAAACTCGTAAGTACAAACAATATCGGCACAATGTCTTCAATACTAACATACATACACAACCAAGAATCTGATAAGATTGATCAGATTGTCGACGATATTAAGATGGTGAAGAACTTCGTTTCGAAGGCCCATCGACCAACATCATCTGTATCATATGCACAGTTCCACGAGCGAATTTCTCCGCATATTGTGAAGGTTGATTCGTACTCATTTTGGCACAACACCAACTATTCCTTTGCCTTGGATGACTTTTGTAGCAGTTTTGGCAAGTATGAGTACGCCAAAGAGAAAAGGCTACATGAATATCTAGTGGATGAGTTTAACAGAGCGTACAACAAGATGGTCAAAAAACCGCTCTTGGCCATTGTCGATACATCTCAACGCCCATTTCTCGATGCAGAATCCCATCAATATGTACCCGATTGGGTTATTCACGATGACAACAAACCTCTCGATCCGACATGGTTCATTGTCGTTGGAGACACCAAGGTTGAGGGCTCCAACTTTCCAACACCCGCTGACTCAGGTCAAGTCCTCTACTATGCGGAGTTCACCTTGAAGAACTCGTTCCATCTTTCAATCGATGCCTTCCTCACATCTGGCAAACACATCTGCTTCTGGAGAGTGACAAAGAATGATCATGGAGAGTTTACATATCTGCGAAATGGTCCACACCTTCTCTCGTTTCAGACGAAGAAAGAGAAGACCATAGGATTCGACCTCTTGATGGCAATGCTACGTGGACCAGCTACTCATATCAACATCCCAGATGTCCCACAACCCATACTCGATACCCTGAAGTACAAGACCTCCGGATTGTCATCCTTCGTCTACACAGCAATGATGGGACCAATGGATGTTATCGTTAAAGTATACAAGAAGCAATCGGACCAAACCCGGGAAGTAACAGTCTTGAAGGAGCTCACTGGTCCTCGAGTCCCAACAATCAAGGCAGAAGGCTCCAATTGGATCATCATTTCACCAGCTGGCAAGGTGGTTGACTCCACAACAAAGTTCAACATTTTCCCCATGGTAATATCAATGTTGTGGCGAATGCCTGTGAAATATACCAACACTGACATTCAACCTTCTCTCAGATCCTGGATACCATCATCTCGGCCCACAAAAAAGGTATCATTCATAGAGATATCCGACCGTCCAACATCATTATCTATGTTGGTCCGATTCTCATTGTCTGGTCATCGTCAATATCCGACACCTTATCTCCCACCCCCTATGAAGGGACCATCTACACTGCATCAAACAGAGTTCTCCAATATCTTGCTGATGATAAATTCAATATCTTGTCGACAAAGGCGGACGATTTGGAGTCATTCGTCAAGACACTCATCATCTTGACTGTACGAGAAGTGGATAACATGGTTCATACTGTACATAAATACTGCCATTATGATCTTCTTAAAGTTTGGACAAACATTTACCAACATTATCTCAGCCCCTATTACCGACACCTGATGGATGTCGCCCGCAATGGAGACATGTGGAACTGCGAAAGTGCCTTTGAGAGACATGTCAGGCAGTATGGTCTACAAATGAATGTGCTGCACTGCGCAGTGTGCAAGAATATATGATACAGTGGACGGACGACACTCTGAATGATGGTAGTGTCGACAAATAGATTTATTAATTCAATGTGCTCCATGGCGATGAAGAAAGTACATAATATCAGAGAACCATCTAATAAAAGGATAGATGGACAATGGTGAGAAAATCAGACTCTTCACAATTCATTTGATGTGATGATTAGATTACTTAGATGATCAGCACAATGGACACAAGAAGAAGAAGACGTCATCCAAGAAGAAGACACAGACCACTATAGACTTTGATGCACCGCCACCTCCAGACTCAATGTTTGAGCCACCACGCGGTCGTCAATCCACCGTGCTCACAGCCAACGCCCAAGCATCAGAGATATCGACCATCCTTCCACCGGACATTCATTACGTAACCTATCCAAACATGACGTTGACATCCAGTCCAGCCTTGTCCGTCACTATCACTGGTAGTGCATTCGACTGCTCGTCCTCCTTCTCCAAAAATGATGGCTTGAGCGCCTACTCTGTGAAATTATAACTGTTACAAGTATAAGCACTTGCTGTATGTTTGACAAGGCAAACAGTAGTCTCACGATCAGTGTGAGGCAGCAATCACAACTGAATTTCCTCTCACCACTTGGCGGCAGGCCATTGTTAGTGTCAGTGGTCAGAGCACGTTGAACATCCCTGCCAGTGGACTCAGTGGCACATTCCATGTTAGCGATAAAGACAACACCCTTTCAATTGTTGACGACACACCGGCCAGTGTCAATTTGATTGGTGATGCAACTCGTAAATGAGCTACCACAACTCTGCCACCAACCGTACAAGTGTGTCTGTCAACTTGTCAAACAGTTCATCCATCAGAATTGGATGTCCCTATTGTGTGTTCGACGGTGACAGCGTTATTTACAGCACTGCCGCCACCAACATATGTGTGTCGGCAAGGATAGCGCCAACTGAACAATTTGCTGTGATCGTGGATTTGTCAAATGTTTGAATATTGATTGTTGAGCTCTGGAGTGCAGAGTTGATGTATATCAAATTGGAGTTGGCGCCAGTGCCCGAGAGCGTGACTGTGGAGGCATCATTGTCAGAGATAGTAAGACTGCCACCATTCTTCACCATTAGATTGCCAGACACTCCACTTCCAGAGATGAGCAAAGTGGCCCGATCGACTGTGATGTTGGCGTTGACGTTAACCAAGAAAGGGGGGTTCTCCAATGTTGAGCGCTGTTCCAATAGAAGAGAGAAGTGTGAGGTATCCATGATATCGTTGCCATTTGATGCCGTTGCTGCTGAAGCAGACAATCCAAAACTGTTGTTAGTTATAACTTCACACTAGTCTCACAAGACCACTCCAAGTTGATCTTCAACAACACAGCATCCAGTGCCAGCAACATCGCCACCAACGCCAACAACAACGGTGTGATCACAGTTGATTGCCAAGGTGGTGTCATCATGGGCAGCACATATGTTGGTAGTGGCAGTGAAGTAACATTGGGTCCAGCATCGGCACCCACAGTCAACAGTCAGTTGACTACTTTCATGGTACTAGAACAGAAGTCATCGCTCTTTGTTCAGTTTCCACATGCCCTTACAAACCTAAGTATCTCTGTTGGACTGGAACTTCATCCAGGGCTATGGTAACATCTTTTTGGAACAACAATCATCACTTGAGTCCAAGGCACCTCTGGTCGCCGTGATGATAAACAATTACTCAACTCTGTCGTCTTGTCTATCTAGATATACAATTGTGGGACTTTGTTATTATTAAAGTTATACACTGCACACTTGGCAGTGATGTGATTGGGTGATTGATTAAATGTGTCTGAAACAACAACTAAATAATCTAATCATCATGATGATCTGGATGGATATTTGCACCATCCAACTCCACCACCACTGACATGCTGTTGGCTACGGCGGCATTATCAACGACCACCAGGTCAACATCGGGCTTGTGAAGCTTCTCGTCGCGTTTGGCCTTCCTATCCTTCTGTCTCTTCAGCTTCTCCTGGATCAGACGCTCCTCCTCGCGCTCCTTCTCCTTGCGCTCGGCCACTCGCTCCATCTCCTTGTGAATCTTCTCGTTGTTTGTATTCAATCTGTTGATCTGTGCCTCGCGCTTCTTGAGCACCTCGGCTTCCTTGTCCAAAAACTCGCGCTCAATCTTCTCCAACTGCTTGTCCGAGTCCTTAAGAAGCTCTGCTTTCAGACGCGCCAGCTCCAGCTTGGCCTTGCGATCGACTTCCTCCTTGAGCTGTTTGGCCTCGAGCTCCTTCTCAGTCATCTCCTTCTTGGTGAGCTGCATCTTCTCCTCCAGACTCTTCTTCTTGGCCTCGGCTTCCAGTTTGGCCTTGGCCGTGTTGGCATCCTTCAGCTTCTTCAGACGCATGGCCGTCAGCTGATAGTCCTTGTCGGCATCGTCCTTGTTCTTCTTGCCCGAGTCGAGCAGCTCCATTGCTTTGGACAGCTGGTTCTCCAGCTGCTTCTTCTTCTCCTCGCTGCGATTTTTTTCGCGAGCGGCCACCTCGACACGCTCGGCCTTGCCAATCAGCTCTCGCTTTGTGCGCTCAAGTCGCTCCTCCAGTCGCTGCTGTTTGATATCCATCGTCTCAACCTGGTCGGTGACGTCGATCAACTCCTTCTTGCGCATCTCCTCAAGGGTCTGCAGACGAAGGATCTCACGCTCATACTGTGAGTCAATGCGTTCGATCTCCTGGCGTTGTAGGTCCTCCTTCTCCTGCTGGAAGGTCTTCAGTCTGTGCTTCTCGTCCTTGAGCTCGCTCATCTTGGTCTCGAGGTCTGCCTCATCGTCGATCGCACCCAGCTGCAAACGTCGCTCGACCGAGTGGTTACCATCGAGCTCGTCCGCGATAACGTCAATCTCGGTGGCAATGTGGTGCGCGTCATTCTCGAGGCGCTGGGTCTCTTCGCTCTGTTTGTTCAGGTGTTGTCTTAGCTCGGTCTTCTGATCGATCAGGTCGGTGGTGGCCTCTTCCAGCTGGCGATTAGCCGCACGCTCCTCGGCGATGGCGCCCTCTGTCTTGGACTTCTCACGCTCCAATCGCTCAATCTTCTCTTCAAGCACCTGTGTCTCGATGCTCTCCATGCGTATGTCCAGGCGATATGATCTGTTGTTCTGTTCCAGCAACTCGGCCTCGCGTTTCACTGATTCTGTGGCGTAGGCTTCGCGTAGCAGGTCTGTCTGTGCCTGCACCATCTGCTCTTTGACTATGGTGCGCTCTTCATACAGCTCGGTCTTCTCTGTGACAAACACACGCTTCATCTTGTCGACTGCCTCACGGATCTCCTTCTTCTTGGTGTCGACGCGTTCTGTCTTCTCAGAGATCACCTCCTCCAACTCGACCTCGCGCTCCAGCAACTCCTCGGTGATCTCCACACGCTTTGTCGCCAGCCTCTTCTTCTCGACATGCAGGTCTTCCAGCTGCTCCTCGATCTCGCCCGTCTCCACGCGTATCACCTCGGTCTGGCGCTGTACGTACACGCGGTCGTTCTTGATGCGGTCGACCTCGTAGCGCATGTCCTTCACCTGTTTGGTCGCCTTGTCAATCACACGCTCGGTCTCGACGCGCGTCCTGACCACGCGATCTGTGCTGTCCTTGGCCTGTGAGAGCTGATCCTGGATCTTCTTCTTGGCACTTGCAATGCGCTGCTTGTCCTCACGCGCATCACCCAATGCCATAGTGAGTTGCTTCTCCTCGGTCTTGAGATGAACGATCGATGTCTCCAGCTGCTGTGTCTGAGCGCGCACCTCTGCGAGCTCAGTCTTGACAGAGGTGAGTCCAGTGGCATCCACCTTCTTCTGGAGGGCGTCGATCTCGGTTTGCAGTACTGCCTGCTCCTCGGCCAGCTCCTTCTTTGCCTCGTCATGCATCTGCTCTTGGTTGGCGCGGGCGGCCGCCAGAACGGTCAGCTCGTGCTTGATCAGCTCCTGGTCGGCACTGAGCGCACCTTGGTCCAGCTGAAGCTGGTCCTGAAGCTGTGTATATAACTCTTGTTCGCGTTGCAGCTCCTCGACCAACTGCGTGGACTCGCTCTGTTGCTGCTGTAGCTGTGCAAGCTGCTCCTGAAGCTGCTCGATCATTGCTATCTTGTCGTCGCGTTGGCCCTCCCACTCGACCTTTTGCTCGACGATGCGCTCCTCCACAACGATCTCAAACTCCTTGTCAGCTACGCGGCGCTCCTCTATCTGTGCGCGGATCTCCTCAATGCGCTCCTTGCTCTCGTGGTGACGCTCTTGGTACGAACGGATTTCGCTGTCGATGCTGGCGATCTCCTGTGTGTTCTCCTGGATGCGCTGCTCTGCGCCCTTGATCACCTCGGATGCGATCACGGGCGGCTCCTCAGCAGCCTGATTGAACTTGTTGAAGATGAATGCAACAAAGGCGACGTTGAGTCTCCCATTGCCGCTGACAATGTCGTCAGTATTGATGAACTTGCGGCAGTTAATGCGATCGGCCGTCTCGAGGAAGAGTGTGGCACGACGTGTCAGGTCGGCCTCCTCTAGGGCCTCAAGGCCACATGATCTGGGCGCCAATTGGTTGAGAAGGATGATGTATGCCACAGAGTCCTTGATGTCGCTGGAGAATGTTGACACGCGACGGTCTGAGCCGGCGGCGGCCAAGTGATGATTGACCCATCGCACCAAGATCTCGTCGGGAACCAGCTCCTCGACGCGCTCCTTCTCGCCCAGATCCAATATCTCAGCTTTGACGCGCGATGCCAGTCTGCTGACCTTGTTGAGCAGGTCAATCTTGACCAGCTGCCACAGTACGGCCAGGATCAAATGACGCTTGCCCTCTTGGAAATCGACTGGACCAATATTGATCGTGCGACAACCAATCGCTTTGGCTGCTCTCAAACATATATCCAAGTTAACATTCATCTCAAACAGATTGAGCTTGGCTGCCACCTTCACCTGGCCAATCTTTGATGACTCTCCAATTGTTCCTGGCTTGATGGCATTGATCATCTTGCTGCGATTGAGTGGAGTGATTGATTGAGTGAGTGAGTTGTCCCATCAGAAGTCCAGTCCAGACACCTCCACATCACTACCTACCTTAGTATGATACCATCATTGAGTGAGTCAAAGATAAGGTCGGACTTTGGGTTGATGGGTATTCTTGATTTGAGCCATTGGTCATCGCGCAACAGGAAGTTGAGATGCTCGACGAGTCCTTGTTTCTCCTCATCATGGTAAGAGTGGACTACACTCAGATCACGTGTATCAGTCCTAACCAAACGTCTTGCCGGGTTTCCAGCTGTAGCCATTATTTGTTTGTTGTTGATGTGTTTCCAAACTAACTATATATGTATATATATCTTGTGGATACCAGTTGGACTTGTGATTGATTTAGTGATTGTTAAAGGGACTGGAGACTGGATTGATTAAGGTTGATGGCGCGCAGGTGTGTGTGTGTGTATCTGTGAGTGTGTATCTGTGTGTGATGGCGTGTGTGATTCCGACGATGATGACGATGTTTGATGATGTGTGTAAGAATGTGAGAGTTAGAGTGTAGTAGTGATGGCACAACTCGTTCGTTATAATGTTGTAAGATATAAATAAAGATAGATAGATAGATAGATAATTGAATATCTTGTTATATTAACACTATTTAGTGGGTAATGTAAGTAATGATTGATTGAGGTGTATGGGACCTATCAAATTGGTCGATGTTTAATCACTAATCACAACACACACACACACACTATTCTGATGGTCAAAAACACTATCAACTGACTCTGATCGCTCCCCCATCACACCCACCCTTAGCACAGAACACTGTTCTGACCGATCACAGCTCATCACTAATTCTCATCGAGATTTGGACATGATTTTTGGGAATGGGAGGTCCTTTTTGGGGGATGAATGCATCGTTCCATTTTGTCTCGCTAGCAATCAATCTTGTTTATTAGTGAGCTCTGAATAGGAGTGATTGGCGACGCCGAGAGGAGTCTTGAAATGTCCTAGTAGGGTGCGAAGCTCGCTGGAGAGAGTGATGACGTTCATGTCGTCCATGGCACGACCATCGTAGCCGCCAAACATATAGATTCTGTCGCCTACAACTTCGGTGCTGGCCATGTCGCGCGGGTTCGGTCCACCCTGCGAGAACTCCTGCTTGTGCCAACTCTCCGAGATCGTGTCGAAGAAGTAGAGCTTGCGTGTCACCTTGCCCTTGATTAGATGTTGGCCGCCAAACACCGCCACAAGTGTGCCCACAACAAAGACGCTGCAGAAAGTACAGACACGCACTATTGTCGAGGGTACGCGACGCCATGAGCTCGTCTCGGTGTTGAATATATGTATGTCGTTGAAGCGCTCGCGCCATGAGTCGCCAGCACCACCGCCAAACAAATAGAGTTGATGTCCAATCGAAACTAATCGATGTCCACATCGCGGTGATGGTTTGTCGCCAGTGCACTCCACCTCACTCCAGGTCATGGTGTCCGTGTCAAACACGTAGAACTCGTCCAGGTCCTGTAGCTCCCAGCGTCTATCTCGATTGATGCCGCCAAACACATAGAACTTGTTTCCAATCACGGCCGATCCATGGTTGGTTCTTGAGCGGGGAGGGTTGCCGTGCACGATGGGATTGTACCAGATACCCTGATCCGTGTCAAAGATGGCCAGATCAAAGTAGATACCCGAACCATCAAAGCCACCAAACACAAAGATACGGTGGCCAAACGCGACGGCTGTGTGGCGGGCAAACTTGGGCACGTTTCCATGCACCTCAACTCTGGCAAAGCGGTGGGTCTCGGTGTTGAAGCTGTAGATATCGTTGAAGCGGCGCAGTTGAGTCTCTTGTCCGCCAATGTAATAGATGGTGGAGCCGACCGCAGTTCCAGTGTGCTGGTAGCGTGCTGAGGGTACGGTGCCGCGCGGACGTATCGTCGTCGATGCGATGGCGTGGCGGCGGGACATTGCGTCGCGCAAATGGTAGTAGCTCTGCCACCTAAACTCCGTCACGCACTTTAGCAACATTGAGCTACTGTTGGCAGTTGGCGTCCACTTGTTCTCCACCTTGTGTTTCCACAATCCAACGTCCTGCATCAGGCGGTAAAAGTCGCGAGACACCAAGCTCACATGGAAAAGCATGCCGAGGGAGAAATCCTGGGCGACCTTTATCAGCAACTCTTCTGGCAGTTGTCTCAATGGGAATGATGATGCGCCAGCACCATTCAACTCCTCATCCGCCAGCATCTCCGAGTCGTCAAACTCTGTGCTATCACTATTATTATTGTTGTTGTACGTGATAATGGATTTGTTCCATAAGTTATTGCTGCTGCTGCTACTGCTACTACTACAACTACTGCTGATATTGTTGTTGCTTGGATGGCTAAAGTTGAAGAAACTGGATGGCGAGGACATAAATTTGTTGCGCAATGTGTTGGTTCGCGAAAGTTTGGGAGTGGCAGGCGGGGAATTTCGCGGCGAGTCTACGCCAAGACCTGATTCAACACTTGTAGTGTGATGTAGGAGTCCACCAGCTGGTGCCGTTGATCTATTACTATTACTATTATTACTATTATTATTGTTGGAGGAATCTTTGGGAGATTTAAGTTTAAGCATTAGACTATCCCATAAATTATAAAAACTACTTGTACGTGTCGGTGACAAAGGTGATGATGGGGATGATGGTGGAATCGAAGATGAAGAATGATTATGTATCAAGTTGGACATCTTCTTGGACTTTCTTGTCAGTACAGGCATGTTCGGTAATAGTGTGATGTCGGTGGAATGGATTATTGGTTGATGGAAATATTTTAAAAGTATATATATTATATATTATAAACAATATTATTATTGTTATTGTTGTTGTCCCAATAGTTGGATGGATGATGGACCATAGGGATGTTGTTGTTGGAGTATTAATTAATTAAATACAATCGGATGGAAAGGAAGGATGGTCGATATCTTTAAATTATATATCATCTGAGCATGATCAAGCAAGCAAGCATGCATGCATCCATCAATCAATCCGCAGCCGCTGCTGCTGCTGCTGCTTCTGATGCTCCTGCTGTTATACTTGTAGCCGAGTTGTTGGCAGATGGATATATATGCGCGCAAAGTGAGAGTGGATGACTATACCAAGAGCAAGAGTGGAGTGATGAGAGAGAGGTGGCGGCAATGCCCATAGATGTATAAATGTGGTAATCAAACAAACAGGATGGATGCACTATTACATGAGTGAGTGAATAGAGAGAGAGAGAGAGAGAGAGAGAGCGATAGTGAGAGAACATGAGATTGTGTGATGGATGTGATGCGAAACACATCTCTACCGCACGAGAGATGGACACAGTTCCACTTGGTCACTTATGCTAGGGTCGACTTCATCAAGTGCCCGCCTTGGATTGATGGTGGGAGTGGGTGGGTATGTGGGTGGGGTGGGAAAGAGACTGATGATCATCACAACTACCGTTATATATTGTGTGTGTATGTATGTTGTATTTGTTAATGATGTTGTTGTTATGGTTGATTGTGAGATGAATGGAAGGTCGGACATGTGGTAGAATAGTGGGTGTTGTTGTTGTTTAGCTATTCTTGTCCACCCTATGATCAATATCAAACAGTGTGTTTGTTTGATTGATCAGTATTGAGTGTGTGTGTGAGGGGTGATGGGCAACACAATGTATTCACACTGTTAAGTATTTGATTGATCACTCTCTCTCTTTTAAATATATAATTATAAATGTGATATATATATATATTATTAGGGTAATTCAGATAAATGAGTTGGAATGATTTATAAATACCTGCTGCAGTACAGGTTCAAATTGAATGTGGATGATGATAATGATGATGATGAAGATGTTATTGTTTATGAGATTGGATGATGTTAATGGTGTAGTTGGTTGGTTGATTGGTGATGTGTCGATAGACTGATCATTATCCAATAGACTCAATCCATCTAACAATGATTATGACTCTCTCTAACTATGTTGTCATAGTTGAGGTACGTGTTCCTGTTCCTCATCACTATCCATCCATTTTAACAAGCAGCATGTTGTGAACATCATTCATCCTTGATTGACTGAATGATTGATTAAGGATTGTCACCAACTTTAATACATACTATACACTGTCGATGATGGTCCCAAGACCATTTGTTTCCAGTTACTAATATTTGGAAACATTAATATTAATGTTAAGAAAGAAAGGAGGATGATGAAGATATAGGGTAACATCATGATGAAGATGTACCATACATCATTGGCCGTTTGTACCAACCATACATTACATCCTACAATCCATGCACCCATCTCTCTCTCTCTATGAGTGCTTGAGCCAGCTAGAATGTGAGTTAGTGATTGTTATTAGTATTCGAGAGTGAGCCCTAGGGTAGTGATTGAGAGAGTGTGTGCGAACAATGAATGTTACAAACTCACACATTGCCAACACTTGCAAGAGGTGGGATTGCAAAAAAGAGTCCCATTCTCTTCACTCACTGTGTAGCCCATTCATCTTAAGATGTTCACCCAATGAGCTCTAGAGGTCCATGATGGTCATCATGAGAATAACATACGTTCTGTTATCCCTGATTCAATCAAATTGTTTGTGTGTGTTTGATGATGGATTGACCTTGTTGTTGTAAAAGGACCATCCAGACTCCATTATTCAAGATAGCGACCTCGAGGGACTAACTTCGAGAATTAAGAAAAGTTAAAGATAAATTATATTGGACGATTAAACAAGTAATAGTTTGTCGTGATCATGGACGACATCAATAACATAATGGTAAGATATAAAAAGGGAGAGATAATTAATGCCACAACTATCACAACTAGTGATCAAACAGTTGATTGATTTATTATGGAATAGTGATGGAAGGAATGGAGGTGCTCTGGATTCATGGAGCTTGGCACTCACTTGTAAAGGATATTGGAATGTTGTGTCAAAGATTATCAGTCAGTATAACAATCAGTTGAGATTGGTACATCTGGCATCACCATCATTCTTTGAAACAGCTGATCTACAAGTACAAGGTCCAAGCTTTGGTGTGAACATCATTGAATTGGAGAATGAACAAAGACTGCAATCACAACAACAACTCAATCAATACGTGTCGGAACAACATATGTATCATCGACTGACCAAACAAGGATTGGCAATGGCAATGCATCACCGATATGGTCCCGAGCCGATCGTGCCTATCATAGATATGATCGGTCAAAGATACTGCCGCCCAACGTCACTACATTGCTGTTCCCATCAATCAGGAGTGACATCAATCAGAATACATTGCCCAAATCACCTTTGATCACTACTTTAGACTGTGGAGATCTGTTCAATCATAAGATTGAACCAATGTCCTTGCCACCAACACTCACTCGACTTATACTTGGTCCATTATTCAATCAACCAATCATGCCCGGAACTATTCCAGATACATTAGTATCATTGACAATTGGTTATCACTTCAATCAATCAATCACACCTGGGATACTTCCACAATCACTTTGTCATTTAGAGTTTGGTTCATTGTTCAATAAACCTCTCATATCGACCGATATGTTGCCCAGATCACTGATCACATTGACATTTGGACACCGCTTCAATCAACCTATTGAACACGATACCTTGCCCACCACAATCACATCACTTACCTTTGGTACGATGTTCAATCAGAATGTGGACTATGCACTTCCACCATCCATCAAATCTTTGAGACTAGGGCGTGACTTCCTGGGACAGCTAGGCCTAGTTCGCCTGGCATTCATCAACTCACTTGATATACCTTATGAAGCCTATTCACTCATAGACGTCCTTCCACTATCCATCACCTCACTCACAATCACATGTGGCATCATTGAAGAGATGCCAGACATACCAGCGCAGGTGACTACATTGGTGTTTGGAGATACAGGACAAATACCTAGATTCCCATTGGGAGTATCATTACATCAATCAACTACTTTGAAGTCATTGACATTTCGATCAAAGTTCAACAGGGAGTTGGACATCAATGTGCTTCCTGCCAATCTCAAAAATCTGGTGATGGGCGATGCGTTCAACAAGTCCATTCAGCCAGACTCGCTGCCCAATACACTCAAGTCACTGAGGTTGGGCAAGTCCTACCAAGGTTCAATGCTAAACTTACCATCTAGTGTCAAGACATTGACAGTGTACAAGTTGGACCAAGATACAATCATACCCATTCACATTGCACATCTGTTAGTTGCATACAAGTATTCATCGATTGAGTCCGTTCCACCATTTGTTCAAGCATTGACATCAATCACTATTAAGATTGGAATGCAGAAGGAGTCTGCACCGACCAATGACTATGTCAAACACTTGCTCACAGTAATATATCCAGGTGTAAAGAATATTAATGTGGACTTGGTATGTGAACTATGTTTGATTGAGACATTGAACATTAGGAGGATGAATGATGGACGTGCATGGTGCCAAGCACAACATGTACACAGTCATCTTAAAGAACATTCCAAGATATATTCGATTGACATGGGGAATGAGGAGTCAAGGTCTTCATCATCCTCACCATCCACATCATCTTCATCCTTGAAGAACATCATACAATGGATGTCCAAGAAGTTATTACATGTATAAATAACAGGACTGGACATACTCCAAAGGTATTTATTACATTCTAAATAATAAAGTACAGTCATGGAATGTAGTATCCAGTAATTGAATGAGTGATTGATTGATCAAGTGAGTGTGTGAGTGTTCGCGTCCATCCATCCATCCAGCCCATCAATCAATCAACTGTTAACAGTTGAGGAATGGATGTGCTAATAACTCTGGGATGCTGGGTCGAGCCAAGGGATCACGCTGTAGACATCGTTTTAGAACGTCCAGGAGCGCGGCGTTGCGATGTGGTGGGTAGGATATCTTGTGGTTGGGATTGACAATGGCCTGGTACTTGGTCATGATGTTGGTGAACTGTTTGAACGGCGAGAAGCCATAGGCCATCTCGTAGAGGATGCAGCCCAATGACCAGATGTCGCTGGCACGCCCCAGCTTCATCAGGGGCGACGAGTGGTTGCCGCCCGTGTCGATAAGGGCCTCTGGAGAGATGTAGTTAAGCGTGCCGATGTGGCTGTCGCGCACAATGTTGGTCGTGTCGTTCTGGATGGCCTTGGCAATGCCAAAGTCGATCAGCTTGAGATGGCCCTGCACCGAGACAAAGTTGGCCGGCTTGAGGTCGCCGTGAATGATGCGCTCCTCGTGGATCGTGTGCACGGCGCCAAGCATCTGCTGCCAGTAGATGCGCATCAAGTTCTCGTTGAGGCCGCTGGCCTGCTGCTGCTTTTGCAGCAAGCGCGCCAGGTCAATGTCGCCCAGCTCCAGAACCAGGTGGATGACGCCGCGCCTCAGGTCCACCTCATTGTCGATCAGTTTGATGATGTTGTCATAGTGCACCAGCTTCTTTAGCATCTCAATCTCGTTGATCTGCGACTCCACCTCGCTGTCGCCCGACTTTAGACACACATACTTGAGCGCGTAGATCTTGAGGTCCTGGCTCAGCACCTTGTACACCTTGCCGCTGCCACCCTTGCCAATGAACTCTATCTTCAAATATGACTTTCCATTGACCGTTGTAGTCTCGCTCCATCCCTTTGCAACCTCATATGCTTGTGATCTATTAATATGTTCATCATCGCCTTGTGATTGCTGATGCTGTTGTTGTTGTTGCTGTTGTTGTTGTTGCTGCTGTACTTGTCTGGCCGATTGTTGTTGCTGGGGGAGAGGTTGGACATGGGGCTGGGTCCTGGATGGGGCTTGCAATGGAGGGATATGCGATACTTTGGCAGTGGCCAGGGGCTGTGGCGCAACAACAGCCGGTTGTTGTTGTTGAAGAGGTGGCTTCTTGATCTGTCTTTGTAACTTCTCCTGTATTTGTAACGTGTCTTGCTTGGTGTATAATGGGTGGCGACTGGGTTGTTGTGCGAGTGATATGGATGGTCGAGATTGGCTTGGTGGGCCAGGCGGAGTTGGTAGTGAGGTGGATTGATGATGGTGTGTTGTTGGTGCGGCCGCAGGTGTGTTGTTTGGCTTGACACTACTCGTATGCACATGAGGAGTGGACTCGTCAGAGTTGTCAGACAGGTCAAGGTCCTCGAGAAGATGGTCAGTGGCAGTGGATGGCGATCGAGATCGTGGAGATGTTGCGGGCGAGGGCGACACGGACCTGCCTTGTTCCTCCGCCGACGCCATCTCCTCGTCGACGGCAGGACGTGACGGCTCATCGACAACTGTTGTGGAGTTGTCCGAAGATGTGCTGGTATCGGTTGTTGTTGGCACACGCCTGAGCATCAGGCTCGTTGACATGCCAAGACCCAATGGGCGAATTGATTGTGATCGCGTTGAGGCGGGCTTGTTGGATGGAGTGGAGCCCAACGGTAGGTTTGATACAGACATTCGCGAGATTCGTTGAGTGTTGATCATCTCGGCGACATTAGAATTGGATGGTAATGTTGTGGAACCTGTTATAACAGTCCTTGTTGTTGTTGTTGATGGTGTAAGTGTATGTGTTTGGGTATGTGTCTGTGTCTGTGATGGCTGGACTTGTGTCTGAGAATGAGTATGATTGGACTGGAGTGCTGTCTTGGCCTGATGAGACATGGACATTGGCGATGGAGTAGTGTTGTTGGATGATATGGATGAGTCGGATGGCGATAAGTGCACAATTTGTGAATGCTCGACGGTTGGTGTACCGCTCGGAATGGAGTTGTTCTGCTGTTGTTGTTGTTGTTGTTGCTGTTGCTGGATTGCCAACTCCTCGCGACAGATCATCTGAAGGCAATTTTGGAGTTGATCGATTGGTGTGGCGCCCTTGTCCAGACCCTCCTGTATCTTTGCCTTGGCTTTGTCAAAGTTGGTACTGACCATCTCCAACAATGCGAATGTCGTATAATAATCAGCACGTTGGAGGCCAATGTGATGGGCCTTCATCAACTTCAGCGTTCCCCTTGCATCCTCCAAGTTTTGAGTGCGTCTGGTATCCATGTTGGATTGATTGATGGAATGATTCCGGTGGGGATTAGGGAAGGTGTTAACATATGATCAATCAATCAAATAGGGAGTGTTATAACATACATCTGAAAGTAGGCAGACTTTAAGAGGATGGTTGAGAAGTCGTTGGATTGTTTGTGATCGGTGTGAATGATGTTGGCAACAGCACTCTGGAATATGTTTAGCATTCTTTGTATGCTGTGCACTGGCATTTCCTGTGGTAACTTGTCGAGCTCTTGTGTAATGATCTGAAGCCACCATGTAGGATGTGAGACATCCTGTTGTGAAGCATCACGCACTGCCATTGTGATTGGCGAGAGTGCAGTTGCTGGATGGTCTGCCACTTGTTGTTGATGCTGTTGTTGGTCGTGATGATGTGATTGACCGGCTGCCGTACCATGACTATGTGATGCAGGGTATGATGGTGGACCCATTGGAGTCCTCAGCGCATGGCTGTTTGGATATTGATGAGGCTGGTCTGGTGACTTTGCCTGAAGGGTTGCTGTTGATGCAGCACCACCTATGTTGGGGTTATAGTTCTCATTGTTGCCTCTCATTGGCATACGAGTAGTGATTGTGGACATTCTTATATGTCACACCTTGTGATAGATTGATTGATTGATTGTCGCTTGAAGGCGAATGTTATGTTGTCTGTTTGTTCAATCAATATATATATAGTTGTGTTGTACTATTTGTCTAACTCTACATGTATGATTTTGTTATGTGATTGATTGAAGTGGACAAACAACGGTCACGGAAATTGATTGTGACAGTTGAATAACCGTTAAGTTTTTGAATTTGAATTTTGGCGCAAATTGTTTTATTACTATTTTGGATCAAACACAAGGATGTTATCTTAATTCTTTTGTGATAAATATATATATATGTACACAGGTACCTTCCAAAACATAAGTAGAATGTCTACTTTCTAAATACAATCAAAGCTGGAACCATTGGGGAAGTCTCAACTCGCTCAACAGTCAATCCAGTTTGTTTGGCAATCTCTTGCCAATCCTTCACAGTCCTCTCTTTGCCATTGTTAAAGTTGAGCATCTCTATGTTTGATTGATATATTGTTAGTATATGAATATGGAACTATCCCATCGACCAACACCTCCCACCCAGACACACAGACACACAGACACATACTCAAGTCCATCCAAACGACCGTTGTCTGATTCTCATTCTTCTCGTTGCCAACTAGGTAGTCGAATACATAGATCTTGGATGATGGCTTCATGGACTTGATGATGGTCTTGAAGATGTTGATCACACTCTCGTCATTCCAATCATGAAGGATGTTCTTGAGCATGTACAGGTCAGCCTGAGGTACCGAGTCAAAGAATGATCCACCAACATCTTTGAAGCGTGGGTCAAGTGACGCTTGGCGTGAGGGTAAGGCTTGGTACTTGGCAATCAAGTTGGGCAGGTCAAAGTTGATACCAGTCTTGATCGATGGATTGGCCTTGAGTACGGCATTCAGAAGGATGCCCTCTGATCCGCCAAGGTCGGCAACAGTGTCAAAGCCACTAAAGTCAGTCCTGGCAACAAGATGTGGCGCCATCTTTGTTGTTATGGCAGTCATTGCGCGACCAAAGACCAATGCTTCCTCTGGACGCGTCTCAAGGTAGTCAAAGAATTCGAGTCCATCCAGTGCCTTGGACAAACTAGATGTGCCAGTCTCGATACTCACGGGCAACACCTCCCATGCACGGTATGTCGCCGATTGACCATTGAACAATACATAGTCTCGTAGATTCTCTTGAAGTAGTCCCAATGAAGCAGAGTTGTGTTCAAATACACCATCTTGATCTTCACACTCGTGGAATACACCAATCTGAGTCAATGCGCGAAGTAAACGATAGAGTGCTGATTTGTCACAGCCAACCTCATTGGCAATCTCATCACTTGATCTCTTTCCATCAATTGGTATGGCATGTGCTACATTCAACTTTGCCGCAGTATACAAAGCACGAGTCTTTGCCATACCATTGATGATATCCAATAACTTTGCTGGACCTTCACTCAACATTGTTGTTGATTTATAAATATTATTATTTGATTGCATTATTAATATATTAATATTATAAATAAATATATTTAGAATGAAAAATAATAATAATCCAAAGACACGACAATTGACTTGTATTTATAGGATTATCCTAATGACATAAACATGATGTTCAACATTATGATGATAGTGATAAATAAAGAGTGTTTACCATCAATGGAAACCCCCACCCCGTTCAATTCATTAGTAATGCGGACATTTGATGCGGACATCGACATCAATGATGTATATTTGTATGAATGTCAGGTGATATAAATGAATGTGGTAATAAGTACGGGAAACAAATTGTAATTAACACAACTCATCATGACACAACAACACAATCAACAACTCATTGTTATTAACATGGTTATAAAAATAAATATATCTGTTTAGTTGTCTATTTATTATTATTTTAAAATCATGATTAGATAATGGTCGTTTTGTTCTATCTATGGGTTGCCCAATCAACAAAAGGAATCTATAAAAATTGCCTTTTAGGGTTATAACATTGTTTTTGTTAATGTTTTGCAAAATGGGTATCGGAGACTTTGTGTATGTTTGTGGATGGTTCATCCATTGACAACAACAAAAGTGTGTTCACCTCCTCTTTATTGGTGACCATCCAACCAAAGGTCTTATTTTTATAAAACCACCATCAACACACATGTACATAGTTGCACCAATCAGATAGATCATACCAGCATTCCATACCCACTAGTATTACAACGAAAAGACGAGAGAGACACACACAGATGCGGACATAGATTCGAACGGGCTCAGTCTAAACAGCAGCATCCATCATCAATCAAACACTACACCCATTCGATAGAGTATTGCGAGAGAGTAAACCAACACATCCATCCATCGAACGAACCAACCAAAGCAACCAACCGACTCAACCAACGTCACGTGTTTTGATTAACAGTTGTTCTTGTTGTTTCAAACAAATACAACTAGGGTACAAAAAAAGAGATACAACAACCACACGTCGCCCACCTTCTTCAACACGCACACATTCACACACAGTCGTCCAACCGCCATTATCATTTCACTTCCAGCCTGGGCCTCCACCCTTTCCCTCAAGGAACATTGAGCTCTCTCAACATCACCGACGACCATACCTACCTGCACATGGTGATTTTCACCTTTTTGCAATCGACACTACACTTATCGTCATACATCCAACCATACATCCAACTAGTTCTAAGACGTCTCCGTCATCCATCCATCCTCACCAACTTCACTTCACACACACCTCTTTGTGAAGAGCACTTTCTTTTTCACACACCCTCCTCTTCCTCCCCATCCTTTCACTCTTTCAAGATAGTTTTATAGTTTTGTAGTTATTAAGATTCTTCCAAACACACCCACAACATTCACACGCACACTTCCACACCTTCAGCTGAAGTGTTCCCACCAACAAAACAACAACAACAATAATACTAGTACTAGTAACAGTGTTGCGCAACAGACTTGAATTGTCACATCTCACTCAGTCAGCCAGTTATTCAGTCAACTTCATTCATCCTATACTTCTTCTTTTTCCCAATTATACCTGTACTTTTTATAATCTTATTTATCATATTATCTATATGATAAGTTAACAAGGTTCACATCACTGGATTAATCCCAGCTCAACTTTATTATTATTTATTCCTCGAGGAAACAATCAATCAATCAATCAACCATTCAATCATTCAACAATCAATATATATATATATACACAAGAACAACACAACAATGGAGATTTTAATACCAACAACAACATCATCTAGTAGTAATAATGGAAGTGGAAGTGGAGGTTATAATGGAAATAATAATAGTTTATGTAGTTCTGGACAGGCTGCAGATTGGAGCTCAGTAGAGACTTGTGAATTGTCCGAACATTATCAATCCGAGGAACAACATGAAATGATCTATGTATTCTTTGACAATCTACCATCGATGGTTGGCATCGTCGACCTGTACAAAACCAGCGCAGACCAATCACTGCCAATTCACAAACGCTACGACTTTAGATTTATAGCGTCAAACAAAGGTATGTTTGATTGATTGACACGGCATGGCGTAGCATGGTCGCGCTGACACAGACACGCACTCATGAATAGCCACAAAGGAAACACTTGGAAAGTTCTCACCAATCAAGGACGTTGTGAAGAAGACATTGGATGGATATTTGGCGAGAGAGGAATTGGAGTTGCCAGAGTACTTCTTGACTTTGTGGACAAAGAATATGGTCAAGTGTTTAAAGAATGGAAAGATGGTCAAGTTCTCATATCCTAGATACGTCCACTCGGGCTACGTGCCAAAGGAGGACGATTTATTCACAGACCAGGTCATCTGGAAGCGTTGTACCATTGATATGATGGGCCGCTCGTCGACGGGTGCGCCACGCTTCTACTTCATGGCCGAGGAGGTCATCAAAGAGGGCGTCACCAAGTACAAGACATTGGCATTGGAGCGCGAGTACCGCAACAAGCTCGAGTCACTCCAGAGCAACATAGAGCAGCGCGTCGATCATTGCACAGAGATCAGACTCAAGTACATACTCGAGTCCATTCCACAGATCGTATGGGTGACGGACTCGCGAGGCGTCATCGAGTTTGTAAATAGAAAGTGGATCGACTTCCTTGGCGTTGACGCGCCCGGACAGCGACTGTCCTGGGCCTCGCTGGCGAGCGATGTCAGCGGCTCGGGCGAAGCCACCGACCGCCTTTGGGTCGACTGTCTCGTGAACACCAAGCGATTCGAGGCCGAGATCCTCCTCAACAGTCCAGCAGGCGGTAGCGACCGCTGGTTCCTGGTTCGCGCTGAGCCGTACCGCGAGACAAGTGGCGGACCCGTGCGTTGGATTGGCTCGTGTACCGACACGCACGACCAAAAGACCGCACAGGATCGCATTGAGAAGGCCGAGAAGTGCAAGGCCATCTTCTTGCAGACCATGTCACACGAGATGAGGACACCACTGGCCGGCATCATTGGAATGAACTCATGGTTGATCAGTTCAGAGACGTTGTCCTCCGATCAACTGGACTGCTGCAAGACTGTAAACATGTGTGCCGATGCACTGCTCAAACTGATCACCAACATCCTGGACCTAAGCAAGCTCGAGGAGAACAAGATAACACTCGAAGAGGCAGAGTTCACGCCAAACAAGATCGTGGAGGACAGCGTGGACATTGTGGCCGCACTCGTTGAGAAGAAGAATCTGGAGATCATCTATCAGATTGACTTCAACACGCTACCCGTGGTCGTTGGCGACTACTATCGAATCATTCAGGTCATGACCAACCTGCTGTCCAACTCTGTCAAGTTCACGCCAGAGGGCGGCACCATTCGGGTCGGCTGCTCGTTCGACCCGCTGTCCCTGTCACAGTCATCATCTCACCTGACCTCACGCCACATGGGCGGTCGCTATGGCAAGATACAGTTCTGGGTTGAGGACACTGGCATTGGCATACCTGAGGCGGGACGCGAGAAGCTCTTCCAGGCCTTTTCACAGTACGACGCGTCCATGTCCCGCAAGTATGGTGGCAGTGGTCTGGGACTGGCCATCTCCAAGCGTCTGACACAGGTACTTGGCGGAGACATCTGGTTCAGAAGCGAGCCAAAGAAGGGCTCGGTGTTCAACTTTACAGTGCAGGTGTTCTTCCCTGACGCCAACAACAGTCCCTTCCTCAAGTGTCTGGCCGCAGTCCCAGCCAGGCGCTCACCCCTTCTCCCTGACCCAAACATACTGCAACAGAGCCCCACGATGGTGTCGCAGTCTGGCAACAAGCAGTCACAGGTCATACTCATGACGACGCGACAGGAGTTTGCAGCGATGGTAACTGGGTGGACCCGCGAGTGGGAGCTGGGCACAAACGTTGTAACGTCCATCGCCGAGATGTCGACGGTCATTGATGAACTCAAGGCCAATGTACAGGTTGGAAAGAAACTCGATGTGGCATTCCTCATCGACGAACCCGAATGGAAGAATGTTGCCGAAGACTCATCCCAGCAGGACCTGTTGGTGCGATACACCAATGACACCAATACCAACTTTAAGCCGATCTTGGTCGGATACAACAAACCATCGCAACTCATGCCATTGCTAAAGAGACCAATCAAGAACAAGACACTCAGAGAGATGTTGGAGACCAACCTACTATACTTTACCAAGAGCAATGCTATTGAGCTGCCGCCAATCATCACCTTCCAGAGTCCTGGTTCCCTCGCCAGTCTCGGTGGTGGTGGGGGTGGCGGCGACGCTCTATCCCATGAGCAACAACAACAACAGCTACAGATACAGCAACAACAACAACATCAGCAATCTCGACCAAACCCACAGGTCAAGCACAGGTTGGATGAAGACGATAATGAAGAAGAATCTGACGACACTTTCGACGACTCATCACCTGTACCCACATTCAAGCGCGCGAGGAGATGCTCACCATTGGCCATCTACGATAGCATCAGTTGCAACTTCTCTCCATCACCATTGATCCAATCGCCTGGACTTGTCCTACCTCAATTTACCTTTGACAGCAGCCAATCACCCAACCGCAAGAACTCCTTTAACCTTGACAACGAAGTACCTCTCGAACAAATCGGTGGGAAGTATCCCCTGAAGATCATGGTGTATGTATAATTGGTCGATCAATCAATCAATCAATCAAACAGTTACTAACTGTTCAATCAATCAATTATAGTGCTGAGGACAGTCTCGTGAATCAAAAGGTAGCAAAGAGATACTTGACCAGAATGGGATATGACGGTGATGAGATTGTGTTTGTTGTGAATGGAAAGGAAGCCGTCGAGTATCTGGAAAAGAACGAGATGGTGGACGTCGTACTCATGGACATGCAGATGCCCGAGTTGGATGGCTGCGGTGCTACTTCCAAGATTCGACAGATGTTCCCCAACAGCGGGCCCCATATCGTTGGAATGACCGCGAACGCCTTCAGCGAGGACAAGGACAAGTGTCTCTTGAGCGGTATGTGTCAGTATCTGGCCAAACCCGTCAAGCTTGAGGACCTTGCCCTTGAGCTTAAGCGAGCGTGGTTCACAAGGAAGGACTTCAGAGTGTGCATGTGCAAGGTACTATGAACTGTCGCGATAGCATTTGTGGTCGCACTAGACTGGTCAACCAACCAACGGTCCCCAATATCTCTCTTGCACTCGCTCGCGCCTCTCGAAGTGAGTGATCACCCATTCTACTGACTCGCTCATAGTCAGTACCCTTATCCATTGCCATTGTGGATATTATGTAGAATCGAATAAATGGACGACAACGAAGCGAGTTATTCGCGACTGATCACAAGAGTGCTATGCTCCTGATCTCGCAGCGCTTCCCACTTGTCGACGACGAACAGGAACCCATGAAAGGTCAAACAGTTATTCAAGAGTGAAGTGCAGTGAAGCGAAGTGTGATTGACTGAATGATTGAATGATTGGTTGATTGAATGATAATACGAATGCAGAAGTTGTAGTGAGTAGGTGAACGCCTATTACTTTTTGAGCGATTTAACGGTGCCCAATCGTTAGCGATTGATTGGCTGAGGCAACAGTCGCCCAGACCAACCATCCGTCCATCCAATCAATTACCCACGTTGGTCGCAACACACGCATGGGTCATGTCGGGGTGATCTCCAGCAAGCCCCCAACAAGGGCCTTGTTTTGCGTTGGTAGGGCATAAACCCTCACGCACCAAAACCCACCCCACCACATCCATCCGAGGACGACGCTACTTGGACGAGCACTTGTCCACCTCCCTATTTGTTGATTGGTTGTCACTTTGGTCGTGACTCTTGATCATATAAATGTGAATGATTGATTGATTACTGAACGAGAGAGAGACAAAAAAGATCAATCATGTGGTGCCCCTCAGCTCAGCTAACGATCCAGCGCAATCGGAACGCCCTTAAAGTTCAATGTGTGGACCTCATCAGAGTCAGTCATTCCGAATGTTTGATAATTGATCACATGAGAGAATGAAAAAGAATGAACATGATACCATACCCTTGATCGTGATGTAACTAACAACATCATGCTGACCTAGAATGCCCAGTGATGCTACGGTCTGTGCAAGGTTGGTGAGGAAGTGAGGCACAAAGTCATGGCTCAATAATTAACAAAAGCCTTGTTCCTGGATAATTCATTGCAACTCCCAATGTTCATCACGGACGATGTAGGGTCTCCATCTACCCAGACACCTGGTCATTGTAATATATCGATCTAGATATATTTATAAGTATATATACATTCATACATATATATAATAAAAATAGTTTAGTAGTGTAGTTTTAATTTATTATAATAATAGGTAGGGTTCACATTCCAACTTCAACCAGTTCATTCTTCAATCCAACTACAACCATCAACTTCCATAACATCAACAACATATATTCTTTGTGCCTCCAGGCGCAACAAAATCATTGTGTGAGGGATAACCCTCCAAGCCCAGCCTCAATCAATCAATCAATCAATCAATCAATCAAT